CATTTTAATTCTAATAGGTTAATTAAACTAAAAAAGGTTAATATTAATGCTTTATAAATTAACTTCTTTATTAATTTAAAAGCTTTATATTATTTATTACCTATTTTAAACAATATACCTTTTTTAAATAAATAATTTAAAGGTTTAATTATATTATTAATATAATATATAAATATCCGGATAAAGTTATATAGCTTTAAAAACGAATAAATAGTTTAAATATTAATTAGGTCTTTAAAATTTTAATTAATAATAGCATTTATCTTTTTAAGATTTATTTGGATACCTTATTTAGCTTTTAGAATTATACTTAAATAGTTTATAAAGGTTATATTAAAGCAGGATTTTTTTATATTTCCTTAAAGCTTAATATTATAAAAATAATATATTACTTCCTTATATTATTCCTAATATTCTTTTTTATTATTTATAAATATTAAAATATTATTAATATAAATATTAATAAAAAGGTTAAATAATTTATATAGTTAGGAATTAATAAAGTTTTACTATTAAGCAAAGCTAATCTTTAATTTAAAGGGTAGGACCAACTATTAAAATACTCCTTATTAGGTCCAGAATACTATTAAATATTAAAATTCTAAAGCTATCCTTAATTTATAAAAAGCTTTAATAATATTAAACTTAATATAACGTTTAACCTTTTAATTATTATATATAATACTATTTAGATTTAACGTTAAAATAATATAGTCTTTTAGATATTTATTTTTCTATTAATAATTAATATAAAACTATCTTTTAATAAAATTTAATTTAAAGGCAAAAAGGATAAAGGAAATATTTGCTTTTATATAAGGTTTAATAAAGCTATAAGCTAATAATTTATCCGTTATTTCTTTTTTTAATAATAGATATTAAATTAAAGTTTAATATTAAAGGGGGCTATTTAAGGGGTTATTAGTAATAATTTTAAGGACTATATTATATCCCGGTTATAATAGGGGTAATTTATTAGCTTTTACTTTTAAAAAAAACCCTTTTAAATAAGCTAACTTTTTAAAAATTAAATAATAAATTAGCTTAATATATTTAAGGTTTTTATTTTATAGGAAGGAAATATGCTTATTATTAAAGGTTTTTTAAATCTTTTTTAATATTGTTATAGATACCTTTAAGGCCACTTTAACAAATTTAATAAATATTAATTTATTTAAAAATACCCTTTTTTTTATTATTTCTATTTAAGGTTTAATTTAATCTTTTTAATAAATTATTAAATAATCTTTTTGTTTTAAAATTGTTTTATTTTTAAACTTTCCGGTTAAATGTTTTTTAAAAATATATAGCTGGTTATTTTAAGATAATATATTTCTTTTCCAAAATAGCATCCCTCCGGTTAATATCTTATTAAATAATAAGGTTAACTTATTGATTGCTAAAAAACTTTTATACAATCTTAATCATAGGTAAAAATAGGGTAAGGGGGAATAAATCTTTTAACTAATTTAATATTTAATAGGTATAGTTTAAAGTAACCTTATTTTTAATTAGCTACTTTAAACTAATTATAATGTTATATTTAATATTAATAATTTAAAAGGTTTAATCTTTAAACTTTCGTCCATTTATTTTTAAAGTAATAATAAAGTATTAATTAATTATATTAATAGGTTATCTTTAATAATTATTTAATTATTATAATTATTTTAAAGTAATTAACCTAGCTTTTAATTAATAGTTAATATAGTAAATTAATTTATAATTAATTATTAAATATATTTAAGCTTAAATATTATATAATATAATAGCTTTTATTTTAAAATTATTTATTTATATTTAAATAAAATATATAAATTAAATAATATTTTAACTACTTTTTATATAAATTAAGGATAGTTTATAAACTATTAAAGAATTTTTTAATAATTTAGCTAATTTTTTAACTTAGATTTAATAAAAAGGGAATTAATAGGCTTTTTTTTACTTTTTTTATTTTATACTTAAATTACATTTTTGCTCTTTTTAGGGTAATCTATAATGTAGTATCCTATTTTACTATAGCTAAAGTAAATATTATTCTTTTAATAAATCTTCTTTTTTTTCTTTAAAAGCTTTATCCCTTTAAGCTTTATTATAATATTCCCCTTATTTATATTCCTTTTATTATTAAAGTTATAATTAATAAATTTAATAGCTTATTTCTTCTTTTAATAATTATAATAATAATTATAATTATACATTACTTTTATTACCTTATTATAAAAATGTTTATATAATATTAATAGATTAATATTAACTTTAAATACTTTAATTTTAAAGTTAAAGTTAATATATTTTTATAAAAATTAAAATTATTTAAATTTAGGTAACTTTAACTTTAAAGCTAAGTTATTAAATTAAAAAATAAACTAATAAATATTAAAACCTAATTTAAAGTAAAACTTATTTAAGGTATTTTATACCCGGGTAATTTAATTTAAATTATAATAAGCTATCTTTAATATTTATACTATTTTAGTTAAATTATTATATAATTAAGTAATAAAATAAAAGTAAGTCTTAACTATTTTTTTAGTATCTTTCTTTAAAAGGGATATAATATAATATATTTAGCTTTTTTTAATATAGTATATTATTATATTTTCTTTAAATTTATTAGTTAGCTTTCCTAGTTAATTATTAAATAAATCTTTATTTTTAAAAAAGGTGCCCGGATTAACTCTATAAATTTTAGCCTTCTTTATATATTCCGGATTTAGGCCTATAAAGTTATCCATTAAGCTAATTATTTTAAAAATAGCCTATACAGCTATACCAATTAGCTTAAAGTCAATTTTGCCGAAAGCACTTTTAACTATACTTTCTTGTAACGCTGGGGTTAAACTACCTCTTTTTATTTAAGCTTAAAAAGCAGTAATTTATTTTTATAACTGTTAAATTAAAGCAGCTTAATTAATAATATTTATTTTATCTATTAATTAAAGTAGTTTTATTAATCTTTTGTTTAAATTAAGGTTTAATAGTAAAAGTATTATATCTTTTAATTTAAAATTTAAAAAGTTCTAAAAGCTATCTTTAAACTTAATATTAATTTCTTTTTCTTTAATAAAAAAGATAGGGTTTTAAATTAATTATTTATTACTTATAAGAACATTAAATATAATATATAATAATAATCGTTAAAATTGTTTTAAATTATTTATTTTAATTAAGGTTTTTTTAATTTTAAGGAATATAAAGTTTAATTTTATTAGTTAAATCTATTATAAAATTATACTTATTTATTATTAAATATAGAACATAATAATAAAGGGGGGGAAAGGTTTAATTTATAAATTGTAAACAATAACGATTAAATATAGGTAACATATTTATACAACGCTTATTAGCAAAAAGGAAAAGCTTAAAATAATATTATAATTAAAAGGGTTTAAAGTATAGCTATATTAATATTATAAATAAAGATTTTAAATTAAAGAAGAAAGGAAGGAAAGATAAAATTAAAATATAAACGTACGTAAAAATATATACGTATTAATGGCTATCGTAGGTCATATAACCTTATTAGTATAGGTCTCGCGTATTTTTATAATATCCCTTTACAATACGCATAATATTCTAGCACAGTATATATCTAATATATTTGTTACAATTATTAATAGGTTAATTATAAAGTATATTAAATTATACTTAAATTATTTACCTTTAATATTATTTAAATATAATCCTTTTATTTATATTAATATATTTTATCCTTTTTTAATAATTTAATTATATAGGTTTTTTTAATTTATTAAACCTTATTATATTTTAATATTATAAATCTTTTTATTATTTATTTCTTTAATTAAATAATTAAAAAAGCTTATAATTACCTTTTATAAGTACTTATAAATTTTTAACCTTTATTAATAAATTCTTTAATAGTTTATTAAATATAAATATTTAAACCTTAAATAAGGAAATCCTTTATATTTATAAGGCCTATTATTTTTATATAATTATAACTTTATTTAATTATTTAATCCTTTTTTAATAATTATAAAGATTTTAATACCTTTTTATTTTTTATTTATAAATTTATTATTAATTATTATAAAAAATATTTTATTATATTAAATAAAGCTTATTAATTTTTTATTTAACTATTTAATTAAAATAATATTTATAAATTATTAATATATTTAATTTAAAGCTATATATATTTTAATAATATTTAAAAAGTTTTTTATTATAAGTATTTTATTAATATTTAAAATTATTGAATTTAATATATTTAAATAAGCTTTATATTAACTTTTATATTAAACCTTTAATTTAATTTTATTTAAATAAGCTTTTTAAAATATTTATTAATATTATTATTAAATTATACTTTTAATAATAAATTTTATAAAAAAAATAAACCCTTTAATAGCTTTTATAAATATTTTTAAACTATATTTCCTATTATAGGAAAGTTAAAAAGAAGCTATATTTAAAATTAAAGGATTTATTATAATATATATTTAATTTTTAAAAGTTATATAATAATTAAATTTTATAATTTAATTTAAACCTTTTATTTAATAAATATAAAATATATTATTTAATATTTAAATAATTATAATTTTTTTAAAAGTTAATAATATTAAAGCTAAATATATATAAAGGTATTTTATAATTATATTATTTTTTATAAAAGGCTTTTATGCTTTAATAAAAGGGTAAACTTTTTTATTGCCCTTTAGGTTAATAATATTTTAAAGCTCTTTTTTAAATATAAGGAGCTTAAAATAAGTAATCTAATAATCCTAATCTTATTAATTATAAAGTTTAATATTTTTTTATATATATTTATTTATTTTATAATTAAATATAGTAATTTTAATAATAATAGTTTAAATAATTATTTAAAATAGTTTAAATAAAGTTTAACTAATTAAATTAAAGGATAAGCTTAAAAAGTACTTTTTAATTAATCCCTTTAAAGTTTATATAATAGTTTTAAATAAACTAGGCTTATAACTTTTAAACGTAGGTAAGCTTTAAGGCTCTTATAATATGTTTAAGGGATTAGTTTAAGGTAATATTAAGTGCTTTAACTAGCTAAATTCTATTTAAGAGGTAATTGAACGGTATGTTGAATATATATACGATTTTGAAACCCTTGTTGACCCGCTCCTTAACTCCACTAATGTCTGACAGTTGATGATACATATTGTCCGCATTCATAAATTTATTGTCGATCAGGTCCCGGAAGTAGTCTCCAAAGTTCAATACCATAGGATGCGGTCGAATATAGACCAAGCTTTTGACATAATACTGAAACGCGGCATTTATGCAATAGACCAGGTTACCTGGGCCAGCCTGCTTTATTTTTGAGAGCAGTGTGCTAAAAGGGTGAAATGGCCCAAGGACGATCTGGGACATGTTACAGACGAACCTGAAAAACAACTCTACAAGGCTAGAATCAAGCCCCGAAAGAGTCATAAGGGCTCTGACAGTAATATCAGGTAGAGAGAGGTCCTGTGAACTCAGCACAGTCTTGTACCGGTGGCAGCACATATCAACAATCTTGAAAGCTTGGTGATGACGACCGAGTGAGAACAAACACTTCACTATTCCCAAATAACCTGCCCACTCAGCAGTCACAGGCACCAGGACAACGGTGTTACCCTGTGTAGAGGGCATTCGGTCTCGAAACCTGACGGTGTTGAAATAAATACTCATGAAGCGAAAAGCGTCCTCAGGATTTTTATAGAAGTCTGGAGCTGCTAGTTTTGGTGTCATTTGAAGGCAGCGTGAATTTCCCATGGCGATAACAGAACCGCTCCTTGTAAAGACTTGTGCTGATCTTTTGTTCTTCACCAAATCCCATTTCTTGAAGCGCGTCTTGTACATCTTAAGACTAAAGATGACGTCAGGGATATGGTCTACAAGAACACAGTTTCGGTTTTAGACTCACGTGGCGTGAAAATTATACTCACGTGCCATAACTTCCATCACGTCTTCCAACCTCATCATTCGACGTAGATATAGCTCCGTGATGGTCTTACGGTGCTCAGCCCATGCCTCGGCCGGAGCCCAAGGAAATGACGAGCCAATTGGAGCCATCACGATTCAAGCAGCGTCGATTTTTCGGCTGTGCATTCTATGTGGAAAATGAAAGCTTGGAATGACAGGTTAAATGTATGATGCTTGCCAAGGTGGAGATTGGGACCCTGAGAATTTATTGCGGCAGACTCGCTGGAGGCAATGTGGCGACGTCAAGTAAGTGAGATCGCTTCAGACAGGACCGATCTCCGTTGGAATCATTTCCCAAGAGATGAATGTAGTAGCCATGACTTCCTATCGCTTTGACGGAGCTTGCAATATTGGTACCTCATCGATTGACAGGCAGCCTAATATGTGCTTTGCTACGTTGTGAGAAAGTCAGCATAGGAGCAATTGTGGCGGTGTGTTCGTGCAGAGTCTCACCTGCATGCCGTGTGTTATTTATCAACGTACACGTAAGCAGACTAGATCTGAGCGAGGCCGGGGAAATTCCCTTTCTGGGCACTGTACCAAGGATTACTTACTCACATTCATACTTAAACTGGTAGAATATGGGTCGCATTCCTGAGCTAAGGGGGTACCGCAGAGGGCTAATAATAACAACTATCTGAACTACCTAAGTAGGCATACCGCGATCCGCGATGGTAGGGATGCACGATGACTGTGGCTCCTAGATACTCAATGGCATTGTCCGCTGTTCTTATACACACAGACATCACCAACTTTTGTAGGCCGCATTGATAGAAAACACGCTAAGCTACGGGCATGCCCAACCCCTCGACACACCCGAGACATGTCGCCCGGTTATGAGAACGCTTAGAGAATTATGCCCGTCTGCCAGACAATTTCGAATTCATCTAGTCAGACAGTTTGTACACTAATTCACTCCGACTACAGAGACCAACCCGAGACAACAATGTATTCGCCGAGGTGGAAGTAGTTCATTGAAGATAACCTTTTTCACTGGAGCGAACATGTATCAGCAACTTCAGGTTCGCGCTAATGCATGTTCATATCTGCAGCTCTTACTCATCAGCATCGGTACGATCTTAATAGGGCTTTCCACAATAGGCCGAGTTCCCTTGACAGAAAATTGAGCATAACAGAATATTCGGAAAAAGAGACTTGGGGCAATGTAATACCAGAGGCATTCCAGTTTATTATCTAAAGCAAATGTCCCACATGTCTCAGCAAGATCATTCGCATTGAGAAACCTAGAATGGACTAGAAGACTAATTGGTGATAATATCTATGGTATTGATCTGTCACATACGAAATCAAGCTTGTTCTAGAAGGTGATTTATTATTTGATGTCTTAGAAGTTGTTCGAAACACAGCCATTGTTGCAAGACAATGGCAGTATTCTACTTAAGTATAAAGGGGGATAGAAGACCAACATGAACTGCAGCTTTACATAAGTTCTAGATAAACCCCCCAGCTAATACACAATGGGGCAAACTACGACGAAGTCAAAGCTACCGAAAACCCCATACAGGGTAAATGAATGGATAGAATGCGTGTGGCACAATGGAAGGGGGACTCTCTACATCAACTCAGCAGGGACGTTCGTCCAACACCTCTGTCGAAACAGAAATCTCTGTCAAATTACTGCAAGGCTCCCAGAAAAATTACTGTCTGATTACCTTGTTGACGGCCGCCACCAGATGAATCCACCTCTTAATCTAAGCACGCTAATCGTAGAGCATACAATAACCCAAGGACGTTGCACATGCTTTACGGTACTATCTCAGGGAAATATATTAGAAGAGTTTGAAAAGATGAAAAGGGCCTGTAAAATTCTCAAAATTGACTTGGAACAACTTTACGCTGAGGAGCAGTTTGTTCTACTATGTTGCATGGCGCTTCGTCTTCCGCTTCCTGGCCGTCTTTCATTGCTTCGAATAATGTCCCGACTGGAAGATTTTTAGCTGCAGTATAGAATGAGGGAATGAAAATTGAACGGATTGATAGGAGATGGAAATAAATTAGAGAAGGACAAAGAACAAGCGAAAATTGAATGGGGGCAACACCTACATGCTACACACAATCGATGAAATCAATATAAAATTTCTAAAATAAAGAATTATATATAATGAAAGTTTTGCATCTTTTCTGTAACCGCCTCCCTTTTATTGTTTTATCTAATATATTTCATTACTGCCCCCGGTGAAGAGGACTCAATGATAGTGATTCTAAGAAACTAGGCTCGATTCATGTTAATCTTAAAAGATTAACAACCTTTGGAGACGGAGATGTATGTTATAAGTATTCATAGAACCTTAGCAGTATTATGGGATGAAAAGAAGGAAATTAAATCCAGAAATACAATGAAGCATAAAGTCTATAACTGTAGTTTACAGGAAAAACTAGTTCATAATCCAATTTTCAGTCTCCTCAGTTCATAGTTAATCAAGACTGTATATAGAACTCACTTCCATGCTAGATTGATATGGACACTGCGAGAAATACTATATTGACCTGCGCGCGCACGCCGGAGTGGTTGTTGTATGCAATGTAAATCTTATTTAGGTCATGAGACGGGCCGACAGTCAGGCGAGTTCTTAAACCTCCTGTTCTTCCGAGACGTACGGTGATGGCGGTATTGACAAATACATCAACATACAGCAAGGCTCTGAAATGCTCGAGCGCCTATAATATATCATCAAGAACCCACTATCTCTCCTCGACAAATGATCTCCGAAGCGTGAAGATTCAATTTCACCTGATTCTAAGTCCGATGACGACGTCAAGTTGAGGGATTTGCAGCATCAATGATACAAAGCCCAGCTATGGCTTTCGATATTGGCATTCTGTCTCATGTGGTTTTGTCACAGTACAGTACTATATAGTGAGTACAGAGACGTCAAGCCCTCGACTTGATAACTCGTCGTTACCTTTTGGTAGCGCAATGGCATAGTACTGCACTCCTTATGTCGTTCCGTGACAGGTTTTAATCCCCGTGATATTTTGTCTCACGAGTGCAAGATGGTGGGTGCCGACCCCGTCGGTTATATATATATATATATAACAAAGCAAGCCAACGCAGTACATAGTAGCAAGCTGCTACGCCCACCAACCAAACAAGTAGACTTAGTCCTCACAACGCTTTCAACACATTTTGAAGCAACTCGACTTTTCTGACGAACTTAATGCTTTACAAACTTTCTAGCAGCTTATTTGCATATCAAGTTCTCATTAGAGGCTTCGTGTCAGGGGTAATAGTGCCATAGACCCTAGGGGTGGCTATATTAGACCTGCTGGCCATATAAAGGGGAGTTAGGACCCCCCTGGACAGTTGAGAGGTTCAGGAATCAATAATTGTTGAGCCCTATATCATACCCTTCTGCCTAACTACTTGACCGTGACTTACCTTTTATTCACTCTGGGACCCAACCACCTGACACTTCGTAAACAGGGGATTATCTACGTAGACACCTACTAGCTCCTTATCGTCATGATAAATCATCAACGGCTGTCACGATGAATTTTCAATCTGCTACAGTATTCATGATACAAATTAATTATGAAATGAGTTGATTAGCCAGCTGGCTAACTGACAAAGTCTTGTTGTCTTAAGTGCCTTACCTACCTAGGGAGGGGAAAAGGAAAGGGAAGAGGGAAGTGAGCTTTGCTATCGAAGAAACCCGTGCAGAAAACCAAGATGAAGGCAGCAACCCCAAGAGATATCGTGAGCACTTCATCTTGTAGGGGAATAAAAGCAGGATTGTACTGATAAATGAATGTGTCAACTTTGGTCTACCCGGAGGCTACTGTACATAATGTCCCATAAACGCCCCCAACGATAATTACTCGGCAGTCTCGATGAATAAACGCCCGGTGCAAGCTTCTGCCCATATAGAAGTATTCTCCCCACGGCATGACGTGATCCAGCTATGACAACTCTTCGGAGATATAGCTCTAACAGGGCAGTGGAAAAATACATGTATCAGCGGTATTCCATGTCAGTGCAATTCCACTACCAAAAAGTCTAGATATTGCTACTTGATGAGTTTCCCATGATGAGTCCAGGACGATGGGATATTCAATGATCCTTCCAAAATAAATTGAGTCCACCCGCTCTGTTAACTAAGAGCAGTCCGGAAATTGATGTTTTCGCATTAATCCACTTCGACAACCTGTTCTCCCAAGCCATTTCGGCCTCGAGGGCTGCTGCGTCGAGGTTCATCTTCCTCATCAATTGCTTTGGCGCTTGCTGGGGTAAACTGGCGAGTACGTTTGATGCCCTTATCAGAGCCACTACCGATGCGGATTTCAGTTGCCAGGTTAGGGTCATTGTTTCCTGGGGTGAATAAAACACCTGAATTTGTTAAGTCGTTTCCAAATTCCGCCCCAGAGACTGATCTTTGAGAATAGGCACCGGAGAATGTGCTTTGGCTTGGCGGTGAGTTGCTATTGCTGCTGGTATCACCACTCGTTTTACCTAGTTGACTGTAAACTGACTGTGACACTTTACGCATGTCAATGTGATCTAGATTTGCTGTCTCTTCTAGTGTGAACTCGTTATGCAGTCGGTTTTCTTTTCGCGATTTGATTTCAGGAGCTGGGATGGCAATGTTTGACCCCTGAACTGGAAGTGGATGTGGCTGGTTCAACAGCGAATGAGTGAGAGACGTTGCCAGCTCAGATGAGAAATTGGTAGTACTTGTGGTAAAGAAATCAGTAGAAGGTGGAGTGTCTGGTAAGTATTAGCACGAGCACCGAGCCGACTGAATCTGGAGGCTGGTGGGCGGTACGAACTTACTGCCCGGGGTCCCCATCTTGTCGATATCGATGCCAAGCTCACTAACAAAACTTGGGTCAAGCAGAGCCGTCGGCGTGTTTGCCGGTGCTTTGGGCGCAATGTTGCTGTTATGGTGGTCATCAAGATTTGCAACCGCGAAATTCATTGGCTGGAAATCAGACATCGGCGGAGCACCAGTAGAATTGGAGGAGTTGTAGTCTGGCATGCTGGTGTCGGATGTTGAGATTTTGCTATGGGTGTTGGCTCTGCGGTTTGAGGATTTACTCTTTCCCATATCAGCTGCTTGGGTGTGCCCAACAACGCCAAGGTTATCAGGCCAATCGAAGAATGAAGAGAGATCGGCCTTGTTAGCGTTGAAGGGATCCATGAATCCGACCTGCTGGCCGTTCACACCACGTTGTACCAGGTTCTGGGTATTAGGCATGCTTCCAGTGAAGGTGTTGGCATTCATTTGAGATGAATTCGCACATGCCGAGTTGAGACCGTTAGAGCTTCCTGTGCCTTTTATGAAACTAGCAGATCGCCGACGTGGAGAGTGAATATGTGCCTCCGGACCATCATCGTGCTGGTGTGAAGGGACAGGCATGGTTGGATTGAAAGGCCCACGACGCCACATTGCTGGGTTCGGCCAGGCAATACCGGAGCTCTCCAAGATGTCTGTCGCCATTAGTTTCTTGAGACCAGTACGAGATGGAAATGACCAAGTCTTACCAAGCGGTGCATGCTGGAAAGAGAACGCCACAACGTTCTTGACTCGTTCGATAGGCACTGTCAACGAATCCCGAGGGAACCCCTCGCTGATGACAATTTTGATACGTCCGACTTCGTCGGCTGGGCTCCAGTAACTCTGCCGGAGCAATTCGCTACGAAATTGAGGGAACTTAAGAACTTCGAGATCACCGTTCTTGGTGAACTCTGAGGGCATAGTCAGCACATATGTCTATGCAAGACAACTGATTTGATTGGTCATACCAAAGCTATGATTGATGAGTTGAGGCCACGGACCAGCACGGTTGAATGACGATGTCCTAATTGGGACAGCAGCCAGTCAGATACTATCTACCTTCTATATGCGAGATAATTAGATTTAAGAGACTTACGCAATCAATCGGCCATCAACCAGCACCCGAGCCTCGAACTTGACTAATTCTGTATGTTTGCTGTAGTTGCGGGTGAACTGACTGACATCTGGCGTCTTCCAAGAATGGAGAGATATGTTGAAGGGAGTTCCAGGGGGAAGGCCCGGCATGAAGCAGGTCATAGTCGGCAGGCCGTAAGAGCCATTGGTATAGGCAAACTCTATAGGAGCGAGCTTGTCAGCAGGTCACAGTGGTTGTTGGTGGCCATTACTGGTCAGCTTGTAACAGAGAGTAGTAATAGACATGCCTGAGTCGTGGACAACGTGACAGTTTGTCTTGAATTCCTTCATGGGGACCTTGGAGTCCTTGGGGAACAGGAGCACATCCCACTCTTCGAACCGCATTGTTGCGCAGGATATGGCGGAGGATTGAAAGATGAAGTTGGTTAAGTATTTCGGCCAAGAAGAACTCGAAAGAGCGGGAGACGATTGTCAATGAAATGGCATAACAAGCAAGGCGGTGGAATGAGAGCAAATGAATACCTCGCAGAGACCCTCTTACGGGCGAGGTATTGTCAACCGAGCGTGTCGGTGGACGAGTCGATACTGGATGCAGAAGGGGATTGGGATTGGGAAGAAGATAAGATGGAGGCCGAGAGGAGAATTCGGAAGCACGCCCTGTCCGTTTTGCCGACCAGATATGACAGCAGGATGTGGTTGCAGTTCCGAGGGCAGGCGGGAGGGGAGGGAGAGAGGCAGGCTGTAGGCAGGTGGAGGAGGCACTTTATAAATATTAAGCTGGGAAGTTGCGGGCAATGGCAACAACCACCAAGTAAGTACCTACCTGGCCTGTCTACATACATGTCCATAACGGTATGTACGAGGTAGGTAGTGATCCACCAAAGCAGCCTCGCGACTGCCGTGCCGCCATGAGTAATTGCCATGATATGTGATCTATGTATATACTTGATGATGGTTATTGCAGTCTTACACATACTCAAAGCGAGGTAGGCAGAAATCAACTGATTTACAAACTCGATATTCCGAATCCTAGGCGGCGTACGACAATTTCATCGAGGCAGCGGTAATAAAACGAGAACCGAATAGACACCGGAGCCAGGCCACGGTCGCTCGGCAGATAACAAGAAGGGTACTGGCTTGGAAACAAAACTGCGAATTGTACGTGACAAAAATACATGTATTTAGCAAGGACTACTACGCGAAATAATCATAGGTATGATAGGTGAGGCTGTTCAAGACAGCACATCCTCGCACACAACTAGGTAGAATGTTAGTTAGCTCTTCTATGCTTGGGTGGACAATGCTATAGGTGATTTGAGAACGAACAAAATGTGGCATTAAGCGTGGGGCACGTAGAGTTATGGCTGGCTAGACTAGGATCAATTACGCCAACACTTCATATGCGAAGGCATTGGGACCTTGATCTATAAATATGCACCATGATGCATACATTCCAATCAACAATCTGGCAACAGCCAACGTCAATTCAGTGTGAAGACGTCGAGGTTCTTGATATTGCCAGATTTGCATCTGACTAAGAACCCCGTACAAAAAATTACGGATGAGAAGACAAACACAGATAAAACTAAGTAGGAGGCGTCAATATATTCGAATATAAGGGATGTAGTTGGTATCTCGCGAGACCCAAGACGGTGGTTCTGATCCATCTACAATCGGGGCGGAACATCCTCCTTTCTTAGACGTGTTTATGCGCATTTTTATTTATATTTTCTCTGATATTTGTACAAACGACTTATTCTGTAGCTTCCTCAGATTGGAATGGCTCCGGGTCCCCGGGGGCTCTGGCCTGTAATCCCAATGTTAGTGACATGCTTGAAAGTGCAGATTCTTAGGACGATTGACGCACTCTAAAAGCACCAGAGCCTCCAAGCTCTCGCTCTAGACCACCCTCGAACTCTCGCGGAAATGCTGGCTTGTCGGGGTATAATCTGCCAACCACCCAGCACACTCCCATAACCGTCGCGATGAACATGCCGAGCTGTGCAAATGCCATTTTGGAGCTGACCCAGGTGTACTCGTATGGGCTAAATACTCCTAGAATATCGTGGTCCTCATGGACAGGCTCGCCAAAGTTCCTGCGCTCTTGCTTATCCCACCAACCCCCGTGGGGATCGCGAAACTGACGCTTGACTCGCGGAGGATTAACGAAACCTCCATTCATGCCCGGGTCTTCGGCATCGGTAAAATTGGGCTCGGCGGGATATTTCTCTTCGACGGTTTTCTTTCCGGTCCATTCATCGGGGAAGAAGGTTCGCTGCTGAATGACGGGCAGGCGTCGCGATGCGGTCATGGGAGCTGTGCGCAGGACCGAAGCCCTGGCAACTCGTTGATAGAGCATCTGAGATGGGAAGACAGTGTTAGCGGATGGAAAGTCGCAGGAGGAGCTGTGCCAAGGCCAATTGCGACGTACCGTGGGCTAGATTGTCAACAATGGCCTGCAAGGTGATGAGGTCGAAGTCGTAATGATGGTCGTTGTTGCTTGGACGGAGTCGAGTGAATCGAGTTACTTACAGCTCTAAATGAAAGCAAGATGATTGGACGGAGTGGGGAAAATTCAGATTGACAGATGAAGCTTTATGTAAGCCAGGGAGTAAGTACCCGGACATGTACATAGTACATGGTAGGTACGGTATGTCATTGTTCCAATACCGGTAGCCTGCTAAGTAAATTGTAGGTAGGTTAGCTTGGTTAGCAGCCAAAGAAGCCGCCCCGCTCAGACAATAGGTAGCACCTCGCAGAAAGCACAGGCCACTGTTTGGCACTGATAGCCAACTGGGATGCACGCGACAAGGCGGAGGTCAGGACGAAATTTTTGAATCATCATCATTCTACGTGGAACGGCGTTTTCAACACTAAATCCATCATAACTATCGACACAGAGGGCTGGCAACGGCCAGACCCTGGGACTTAATTTTGCTGCCGACTCTCTATCTGTAGACTTACTTTTCACCCTCACAAATGCCGATTCCGCCGAGTTCTCCGTGCTCCTTTTGCTGCTTTTGCTCCCGCCACCCCGGACAGCTATGACGAGCACCGCGTCGTCCCCGTCTGCTGCACCACCACACAGCATCGCCAGCTCCAACATCGCCACTCCACAGCATCAACAGCATCAGCCCGAGGCGTCAACCAACACAACTGACCACTCTCAAAAGGACAATGGAAATAACTATATGCTTCTTACCGAATCCGCGGCGAACGCCAACCAGAATTCGGAGGAGGCTGCACCCCCTGCCAATCAAGCCGATGGCAAGAACCAGGGCAAGCACGATGCACCCGAGGCAGACAGCGCTGAGCGGCCGTCAAAGCGACGCCGTGTGCGCGAAGCAACACCCCCGCGGTCCATACGTCGACCCAAGCCGGAATCACCCCCTTGGAAGAAGGTTGAGGCCGAAGGGCCTACTACCTTTCTCGAGGATGGGAAACGAAGATCCGGGAGGACCAACGCATTACCTCTCGAGCTACAGCCTCCGAGTGCAAGAAGAGTGACGAGGGGCGCTAGGAATGTCGCACAGTATTCTCCCAGCTCAAAACCTGTGAATACAATACAAAAGCGCCTATCTACCACGCCTCGACCATCCACCAAGCAGCCACCACCCCCTGCGTCTAGGTCGAGCGCGCGCAAATCGCTGTCAAATACTCCAAAGCCGTCAACCAAGACAAAATCCGTCGCTGCTCCTTCCAAACCTCTAGTAGAAACCCCAAAACGCGCACTTCCCACTCGCCGAAGCTCTAGAACGCGAAGAGACAGCACCGATATCCCTGCTCGAGCTCCCGAGCCTCTAGAAAGCCCACCATCATCGCGCACTACCAGGATTCGCCTGCGGGTTAAGACTATAGCTATGCCCATTGTTCATCCTGCTCAAGTGAATGTTTTTCCCGGCCAGACGATCCCTCGCCCAAAAGTAGCATCGTCTTTCAACGAATACATAGCCCAGGCGCCAACTCTCGATGTACGCGATGGCGGCTGGATGGATGCTACCGATGACGGGCCCCCATATACCCAAGAGATGGCCGAGAAGGATGCCCGGATCATATTGAGAATTGAAAAGGAGGTCGAACCAGGCGGACTGCTTAGCGAGGGGCGATCAAGCCTTTTTGCACCTGATCCTGTGGAGGAGCCGCCTCGGCAATGGGCGCATATGGACCATCTTGTTAAGCAAATGGCCAACTTTCGGAAATTAATGGTGATAGAGCATCATCGCCACAAAGCCACGGCAAAAAAGTTGGCTGAAGCCTGCAGAGATGAGTGGCTCCGTCGTCAGCCTAAGACAGCCGAGGAGATTGAAGCCGAAGCGCGATCAGAGTGTATTTCACACTATAAAATTGTCGTTAGGGCTCTCGTGGGTACCTGGGACAACGTCAAGACCGAAATCAATCGTAAGCGGTTAGAGGAATGGGAAGCTGCTGAACAGAGGCGAGTAAAAGCCGCTTTGAATGAAGCGGTGAGTATGTCGGAGCTAAAGCTTCAAGCCCGGCGGACTCACGTTGATTCTGATATGCTGTCTGATGAAGACGAAGAGGAGGAAGATGAGGAGCTCGAGGGCTCCGAAGATGGCGACGACGACGATATGGATTTGGGCCCTAATCGAGATTCCCAGTCCAATGCTAGCTCCGCCAATGACGAGGACAATATGACATCATCCGATGATGAAGAAGACTTGAAGTCTACGATATCCGACGAAGGGTTAACACAAGATCAACTTCGGCAGAAATATGCCAATATACCTGATCTTTCATCCCCTGAGGCTGGAGAGGGAATGCAAACTGAAGATCCTGCCGATACGACAGATGAGTCGGTCGACATGGATGATGACACTACTTCTAGTGACGAGAGCATGCAAAGTGCGGATGAGAGTGATAACGCTAGTGATGACGAAAGTTCTGATGAGGAGGCATCGACTGGCCTTTTAGGGCTTTTCTTTGGCAAAAAGGAGCTGAAGAATTTGAAAGATGACGCCGGTACGGATGGCAGCCAGCCCGCTCTTGCCGACTTGCCCGCAACAGAAGTAACGGATCCGGCAGCAAACGATACTAATATAGATATCACGCAGAACTTGGAGGATGACAAGATTTTGTCGATGAATAACGCCGACATCGCTCCTCTGCTTCCCCCGGTTAATCACATTGGAGGTGAGCAGAAAGGAGAACCTCCAGTAACAGACGCATGCAATGGTGTATCAGCATCTGTCACAGACTCATCTTCTAGCGCGGTTGTCTTTCCCTGTGGCCCTGACATAACTAATCGCCCAGAGCCTTCAGCTGTTACACCTCTCTCACTACAACCGCGCGATGGTGAGCTAAATGTAGTTGATGCTGTTGAGTTTGTGAGTAAGAGCGGGAGCCATCCGCGAGCAGAACTTTTTGTGCAGAAGCAGCCGACAGCAGCAGCAGTTCCTAGTATCGAGCCTGTGCCCGTTCAAGCAGATCGGCCGCGACCTATATCAGAAACAGATGCTATTACCAATTCTATTAGTCGAGATCGTACACAGTCGCCTCGGACTTCAGAGACCAAACCCTCAGACGTAGATACAGCCTCGTCTGTGACGAAGTCAGGTGTGAGCAGGTCCACGACACCCCCTTCACGAGTGCCCAAGACTGAGGTTCCGTTCTTGTTACGGGGAAGCCTACGCGAGTATCAGCATTATGGGTTGGATTGGCTTGCGGGTCTTTATAAAAACCAGACGAATGGGATTCTGGCTGACGAAATGGGTCTTGGTAAAACGATCCAAACCATTGCTTTATTAGCACACCTTGCTTGTCACCATGAAGTGTGGGGACCTCATCTTGTTATCGTTCCTACAAGTGTTATGCTGAATTGGGAGATGGAGTTCAAGAAGTGGTGCCCTGGATTCAAGGTCCTTTCATACTATGGTAGTATCGAAGAGAGGAAACGAAAACGTCAAGGCTGGAAGACAGACGACATCTGGAATGTGTGTATCACGTCTTACCAGATTGTCCTCCAGGATCAACAGGTGTTCAAACGACGCCAGTGGCATTACATGATCTTGGATGAGGCGCATAACATCAAAAACTTCAAGTCAAAGCGTTGGCAGACACTATTAGGCTTCAATACCCAAGCACGACTCTTACTTACCGGGACACCGTTGCAGAATAACCTGACGGAACTCTGGTCGCTTCTATTCTTTCTGATGCCGTCAGAAAATGGAGTAGGGGGCTTTGCGGATCTGGCCGAGTTTCAGGACTGGTTTCACAAACCAGAGTCCCAAATCCTTGAAAGTGGCCGCGAACAGATGGATGATGAAGCACGTGCCATCATCGCGAAGCTGCACAAAGTTTTAAGGCCGTATCTACTCAGGCGACTGAAGGCAGATGTTGAGAAGCAGATGCCAGCCAAGTATGAACACGTGGAGCTATGTCGCTTATCACGACGTCAACGCGAGCTGTATGATGGCTTCCTGGCTCGAACCGATACGAGGGAAGCACTTGCATCAGGGAATTATATATCCGTCATCAACTGTCTCATGCAGCTGCGTAAGGTCTGTAATCATCCCGACTTATTTGTCGAGCGGCCTATCATGACGTCTTTTCGACAACCCACATCCGTTGTCTCTCAATTCGCAAGCACAGAGGCCCTTCTCCGCTGGAAATTTCTTGGGCAACCTTCTATGGCTGTGCCCAACCTAGGTTTCCTCAACTTGATACCGACGCAATATGAAAATCTATCGGCAACCGTTTGTGACCGTATCTTCGAGCTCAGTTCTGACAGAACTTTCCTCGAACTTCAGGAAACCCAAACTGCCCGCGCCCAAACTGCTGAGACAACATTTGATCCTTCAACCGTCGAGTCGAATATCGCATATATTGATACACTAGGTCGAATTGGTCGCCTGGATGAACTGCGACATTGTGTATATGTGAACGGTCTCCGTCGGCAGCAGCATCCTATATACGGAAAACGACTCACTGATTTTTTAACGTTGGATATCAATCGACGGCCATTCAAGCCACGTCCCAAGATACCCCAGAAGATAATGAGTTGGTTCGAAGAGGATTCACAGGCTCTACGATCGATCGTACCTACTCTAGATGAACGTTCTGCCTCAATGAGAGCCGTCATCTCCAAATTTGCGTGCATTACTCCCGCGGTTGTAACAAGGGACCTTGATCAATTTGTTTTAGGCTCAAAGAAGATCGAGGTGCTTGGCGATATGAGTCTTACATTATCCACTCCGGTTCGCTACTCTCCATTCATGCCAAAGCAGCCTCCACTCGATCCATGGCACGAGTCACGCATGAGGCTCAGCATCCAATTTCCAGATAAGCGCCTTTTACAGTATGATTGTGGTAAGCTTCAAGTGCTTGATCGGCTGCTACGCAAGCTTCAATCCGGTGGCCATCGAGCCCTTATCTTTACACAAATGACGAAGGTTCTCGACGTCTTGGAACAATTCCTAAACATTCACGGACACAAGTACCTCCGACTTGATGGCGCTACGAAAGTGGAACAACGTCAGATCTTGACAGATCGGTTCAACCACGATCCCCGCATACTTTGTTTCATTTTGTCGACACGATCTGGCGGGCTAGGAATCAATCTCACAGGAGCTGATACCGTTATCTTTTACGACCAAGACTGGAACCCGGCCATGGACAAGCAGTGCCAAGATCGATGTCACCGTATCGGACAAACTCGAGATGTGCACATCTATCGGCTTGTGAGTGAACATACTATCGAAGCCAACATTCTGCGGAAGGCGAGTCAAAAGCAAATGCTAGACGATATCGTGATTCAAGAAGGAGGCTTCACTACCGACTACTTCAACAAGCTGTCTGTGCGTGACGTGATAGGTGGTGCCACGGACGAGGCCGATGTTGTCGGAGATGCGATGGACCGCGTTCTTGGTCGTGTAGAAAATGCCGATCAACGCACTGTCGGCCGTGTATTAGAGCAAGCTGAGGACCGAGAGGATGTTGCCGCCGCTCATGTGGCCGAGAAGGAGATTCACGAGGATGAAGCGGATTTTGCCGAGAAGCCACCAACAACCAATGTATCGGGAGCCTCGAGCACACGGCAGGGCACGCCTGCTGCACAAGACGATCATGGGGTAGGACGATCAAATCTTGGTTTGTTCTCCGAATCGGCCGATGCAGATGATTCAGCGCAGGAAATTGAGATGAACGCATGGGGCAAAAGAATCCACACCATTGATGACTATATGCTCGCAGCAATGGGCAGGGAGCTTGAGGGCACGGCACTTGAACTCCCCAAAGACAAAAAGAAGAGTAAAAGCAAGAAAGGCAAAGACACGCGGAAACGTTAGGCTTGCGAGTCTTTCCTATGTCATACTTCCAGTGTATATTACTTATTTTACTTCGCCCTCAACTCGTTTTAACTTTCTATGTAATTGTAGATATTGCTACGGGAAACGGCACCTGGGCTCAGCCACATCCGGTAATCATGCCCCGTCGACTACTAGAGTACGCGTTTACCATGGCTTTGAGAGCGTTGAGAGTTAGGCGCTGGGTCAGTATCGGAGTTTTTGCATGGATAAAGGCTAGCATATTTTAAATGAGGTATATAAAAAGGCGGGCTCTCTGGAGTGTCTTCATATTATAACATTCCTCCTATCACAACAATACAAGCACGCAAAAGCAGCACGCCCGATGACCATCGCGCGCAAATTATAGCGTTCAACTATTGCGTCTTACCAAGAGCCTCGTGCCCACCATAACGAGTTGTCCGTCTCTAGAAGTACTAGTTTACCTACTTACATCACGGGCTGAGGGGGAACTTTCGGCCGTCACAGTCCATCTACTGTACAGTTAGCCGATGACCCCGCCGCTAGATCCAGTCCACCTGTATCATGGTTCGATCCCTAGAAAACTGCCGGCCTAGTAACTGAGGGTCATAGGTAAGAGAGGTGAGAGGTTAGTACGGCGGGTGTGAGAAATCGGATCGCGGGGTGTCATTCGTGAAGGCCATACCTTCAAGTAAGTAGCGAATGGCAAGTGTGGTCTATATAAATCTATGTTCAACTGAGGTGGCCCAACCATCATAAGGTGAGCCCCCATCTGTCTTTCTGTAAAACGCCAAACCCACGGAGCCGCATACAATACCTGCCGGAGCCTACTAAGCTTCGTCTGCACTGCAACCTCCAACCCGGTCTCCGCAGCTACTACATATGCAGGAGAGGTCTGGCAATCCATTAAGCTTCCAATCTTAAGCTTCAACAGTCCCTGCAGACTGCGCGTTCCGCCTGCATTTATCCTGGAGGTTTCTAGTTCGAGTCAGGATAGGGATTGATTTGATTGACTTTAATCACGCAGGTGCATAATGACATCAGAAAGCAAGCAAGAAGCGCAGCACGGCGATTTTCGCCAATATCTACCGGACCTTAGCACCCCGCGCTTCACCACCATAGCGCAAAACAACGCCCGGGGCCACGCAGAAGAGTTGAAGGGAAAACAAGCTCCGCCGTGGCTGTATGGGCTCTACACGCACTGGCGGAAGCTACTTCAAGAGCCCTTTAAGGGCATCACAAATGACGGTATGCGCCCCAGTGGACGAGGGAGTTGACTGAGCTAAAATGCGATCAAAGGCATTGTCCGACCGGGTCTCTACAAGATCCGTGACGAAGGTGTGCCGGTCGAGCGCATCGTGGCCGCCGCGCAAAAGGTCGTGGACCAGCTCACCCCCTCGCAGATGTCACAGACACTCTTGCACATCGACTCACCAGAGTGGCGGACCTGGTCGAATCCAGAGTTCTTGATCAGCGACAAGGGGATCCGGCTAGACGAGATCACCCCAGCGCTGCGAGACGCTGTACTCGACGTGTTAAAAGAAACGCTTTCTCCAGAAGGTTACGAGAAAGCCCTCGGCGCGATGCGCATCAACCATTTCCTCGGCGAGCTCGTGAACGCGCCGCGCGTGATGAACGAGCACAGCTACAACTTCGTGCTATTCGGCGCCGAGCCCTCGACCACACGACCATGGGGCTTCTCCTTCTACGGGCATCATCTATGTCTTAGCGTGTTTCTGTATAAGACACAAATTGTAGTATCGCCGTGGTTCACGGGTGCGGAACCGAATATCGTCGACGCTGGCCCGTATCAAGGCACGCGCATCCTTGATGTTGAAGAAAGATTGGGATTGCAGCTCATGCAGAGTCTTGGGAACGATGTCCAGGATAAGGCGCGTACGTATAAGTTGATGAAAGACCCTGCTATGCCGAAGGGGCGATGGAATCATGATGATCAGAGACATCTGTGTGGTGCGTATCGCGATAACCGCGTTGTGCCGTATGAGGGTGTGCTGGTGTCTTCGCTGAGCGATGAGCAGCAGGGCCTCGTAGTGCAGATCATAGAGCAATATCTGCTCTATCTCCCCGCCAAAGCACGCGAGTTGCACATGAACGACGTCAAGGCCGTCTTCGACGAGACGTATTTCAGCTGGATTGGCGGCAACGGTGATAACGACCCGTTTTACTACCGCATCCAGAGCCCCGTTATTATCGTCGAGTTTGACCATCATTCCGGCGTATTTTTGACAAATAGCGAGCCAGCCAAGTTCCATATTCATACGCTTTTGAGGACGCCGAATGCGGGCGATTATGGATGGGCTTTGCGGAGTCAGATCGATGCTTTGCATCAGGATTATGTGTGGGAGGGATAGATTCCATGTCTGCATGTCTGGGGTGAAGTCAGGGCCTTCTTAAGTATAAATAAATTATCGCTTGGATTCTGGATATGTATGGGTGTTTCGCGGTACATGCCTTGTCAGACAATCGCCCGGATGTCTCGACTACTTTTTCGTTAGTCAGTCTTGAGGAACTTCATGCTGCTCAAAATTGTGGTATGTCTATTGCTACAACCTAGGCAGCTTTTAACAGACTGTACTTATCTATACCCAAGTCCATAGCTCTAAGGGTTCACTTCCTATCATGGTACTACAAACGCACCCACTCGTCGATGCCGTTCTTCTAGAATCCTTTCTTCTACTTCCCCTAAAACTAGTACTTTATTCCTCACAACCTAAACATGGAATAATAGGTGGGAGGCCTGGGATTTCAGCAACTAGCATATCACTGTCACGTCTTTGCAACAGTTCAACGCTGCCGTATGTGTCTGCGTTCATCGCTTGGTTTGACTCGCAGAAGAACATTGAGGACCCATTGATATTGACATGGAACTGGTCAATACGTGGATCGTTATGAGTAAACCAACAATCCAGATCGATGATAAAAGTCCGATTCAAGTAGCATTGAGCGCTGACTTCATTGTTATGGTTGACCATGGTGAATCCTTGATCGTTGTCGAAAGCTAGAAGTTCTCAGTCAGAGCTCCCGGATCACACATCTCGCTACAATTCAGTTATGGACTAAAACTATAGTGGACTCACTTTGAAGCCCCAAGATGTTAGAGAACGTGTTTATCTTCATAGTAACAAGGGGATCGTGCCACAGCGGACCTGGACGTGAGTTCCAGGGCTCGAACTCCACCCCGTATTTATAACCGCTCGCGTTCCTTTGATCGGGGATGATGCTGTGCGAGAACGCGTCGTGCTCGCATGTCCATTGCGGTGTCTCGGTGACGAATGTTGTGCCATACAAAGAGAACTCAATGCGGCCGATCTGTACGAAGCGGCGCTGGTAAACGAGCCAGAAATCTGCGAGGGCGCTGGGGATGACAGCTAGGACGTAGCAGAACTTGAATATCTTCATTTTGATAAGCTGGGTGTGAGGATCGTCGGATGTCTGTGATTCTGATACTGTAGTGATACGGCAGTGTAATCACTGTAATGAGATGCGAATAGAGTGCTGATAGTGAACCAAACGCAATCGATGTTCGTGAGTTGATGTTGTATTGTACTTGAAGAGTCGTGCATCTTCATGTCTAGCGACCGACGGGACGAGGTAAATGACATGTTATAGCTCGATGAACTCTGTCTCCAGGTTGAGCCTTCCGGGAATGCACGGCAATTTCATACCAGCATGAGCATATTGTCCCTGGCAAGGAAACGACAGGACATCTCCAATAACGAAAGGAGGTTCATTCGTGGCAGGTCCGCAAGCACTCTTCGATCATCCCTTCTATCAATTCATATTGGCCTCAATTGCTGTCAGGGGCAAAGAAGCACTAGGGCAGACGTTGCCCCGAAGGGGTAGAGATAGTTCAGTAGTCAGATATATCTGAAGGCGAAAGACCCCCTTTAGTATTAGGGAGGCTAGGAATCAATAATATTGAGCCCTTGTCCCAATATTCGACCTATCTACCACCCAGGTGCTACCTACTTGCGACCCATTTGGCCTGCTGTTATTCAAGCCCTCCGTCATTGTCCTGATCTAGCTGGCTTTTTAGCCTCGCTAGTTTGGTTGTAGGCTAATCAAGACAGGGGCCGGTGAAAGCTCAGCCTGTTAAGGTCTTCCAGGCTGTGAAAACAATTGAAACTACATTAGAAGCCATGAAATAGCTCAGGTTTGCATCTAGCTAATATAGTCTAGCATATGCCCTACAATTGGTATGCTCCGGTATCTAAGAGATGATATATGGCTAGTCTCATGATCCTTGCAGAATATAATATTGTCCCAGCACTAATATGGAAGACAGACATGCGCCCTTACGCTTGTGAGCACTGTAATGCATTGTACTTCAACACAGCGGGACAAAAACTGGCTCCCCTTACCCATACCTCAAATCGTTTCGAGTATATATTTCCTGATCTTACGAGGCTCAAGCTAGTCAAGGCCACCACCTCCGCAATATTGATTGGATCCATTACTTACAATAGGAGTTGGGGTCGCCAGCGTATAAGTTGGGAGCCAGGAATGGAAATAATAAACGCCATGATGAATCGGCAATGTCACCTAGGTAGTACGGAGTACACTACGTGCTTGTTTTTATGCCAAGAATCTAGGTTGAGCCTCCTGATAATCTTTGCCTTTAATCATCCTATCGCTCAGTCCAACCAATGACGATTTAAGCGACTTGAGTTGGACAGCGATGACTCTATGATATCTCACCCTCTGCCTTCACCACGCGGCTCCGATAATGGCTAGGTTCAACCTCGAGGGTCAGTACCTTACACTTGTCTTTTGCGGCTCCTAGTTATTTTCCTAGTCAGAAAAAGACGATATACTCGATACACTTCTAATTCAAATGGACCAATATAATGTTAATTTGACTTGATCACTCCCAGCGCAGAACCTACTACGGTCCCTCAATATTGCAGGCAGGGTGAAACTGGGTGAATAAATTGGCATTATGCGGTCGCATGCCTTTGTAAATGGAGCGTGTAGGTAGTGGACTTTATAACCTCAAATATCAATGGCGTTAATGGCGTTTGTAGCTCTCTTAATACTACTGCGGCTGCTGAGATGCGTTACAGCGCAGTGTAGTGGTGATCTAACATACTATCTGTCGTGCATGATTCTAAAATTTAGGATTGAAAGTGACAGAGGTCAAGAAGCCGAGAAGCCAATGACTATATATACAATTTCGAGATGAGCCAGACGCGGCAAGTCATAAGGACTCCGCTTTGAACGCAAGCCGTCCTGGTAGTGATGCAGCAAGGCTAAGAAACAAGCAAATGTATTCGATAATGGCCCATCCCATCTTCGGATTTAGAAACGAGAAATTCTATTACACCGCAAACCCGAGATAAATCAAGACAAGGGTGCCACTATTCGGGCAGTCCGCATTCTGGGGCATAACTCACATTCTAGAATCGCGGGAGCGTAGTGGCTGCGATCCGGCAAATACCGCTGGCAACAAAAGTGCGCCAAGCGATGAGATTTTAGTCCACCGGCATCTCAGGGTCGCTCAGGGATAAGAATTTAGCATTGGAGGAGCGCTTATGTAAGGACATACCCTTGGTTTACTACAGTTTTTGTGTTGATGGATGCTGAACCTAGGTGCAGGATGTTGTAATTTACTGGCGTAGATTATGCAATGCGGATGTGGTGCGCAGGTGTTCCTAGTTATCATCTGTCACTTCTCTATCAATAATATCGATAACCCTCTTTCTTCGCTATTTAAAGGTCAATCGTGACATGGACGCAGATACCCCTCCTTGACAATTACTGTTAGGGCTTACATGTGAAATGAACTGATACACTATTCCCTCCGTATAGGAAGCTAGGTGCGAAGGAGTTTCTTTACCAAAAATAGCAACAATTGCTAATTGGCGAATCCTTCAATGGGATTTAGCGCAAGACTGCTAAAACAGGTTCAATACTCGAGGGGGGTTATCAAACATTATCTATTAAAAATGATAAAAGAATACCGGTAGTTATTCGGATAACATGAGGGATGTGAGGTTATGAATTGATTAACTTCCATGGTGAAATTATGCAGTCATCATCCTCAGGCTACGCCTGGACTGTCAGTGGTGTCGAGTACCAGTCTTGGCGGTCATGATCACACAAGACTTGGTCGTAATCACAACGGCAGGCTATGAGATGTATTGTCCTAGTCAATAAGCACAGGGTCAGCAATAATATTCTAAATAGGACTTCAGGGTTCGCGTATGGATGCATAGTAATATCCAGCCGCACGTGGCGTGCAGCACCCGAGAATGCGATTTGTATTAATAACAATTCCTTAGCTCTCTCTAGAATAAAACCCTCCATTTCTTCGCTCTTTACTACAGTGTAGGTGGCCAAGCAATTCCCCACAGCTGGCAAGAGCAAGTTTTAATCTTCTCAGCTATTCCAACTACCGCGATTCTGTCATACGGCGGCGCTGCCTACATCTGACCATTACAACATATCTCAACATATCTCTAGCCAGTCACGCCATCATCAACTGAAGCAGCGCAATATGGAGAAACCCACAGTCAAAAAGGGCGATGGCCTCCAGGTCATACATGCCAGCTTGTATCGCAGTTAGTAAATCCCCGTTTCCTCATCATGGCAAGCCAACGGGGTACGCTTGACATTAGATGTACAGCGTATCCCTTAACCTTGGGGAACTAGTTTCGAAGCTAGAAGTTAGATTACAGGGCGTTTACTGACCTATCATCTCATTCAGTGGCAACGAAGTCAATGGCCCAGGCTTATACCATCCTCGGCTACAAAGTCAATCACGCTCTGATAGGAAACTCACTGGAGACAAATTGGAATGGGATAGAGAAAGCCGCTGAGGCAACTTTCCCAACTGGGCCAATGCGCCGTTTCGACAAGAAGGACTGGGACGATCTCTGGGGTTCACAATACGATATCGTTACTGATATTGCGTGCCCCTTCGTACCAGAACTCATCAAAGCTTACCCCAACGCCAAAGTCGTCATCGTTCAACGAAGTTTCGACGGTTGGTGGGAAAGCTTTAGGAAAAACATCAAAGACAAGGTGTTTGAGTTCCCCAAATCCAACATCATCGCTTTCATCAGCACGGTGTTCTTGGGAGTTCGCCCGATACAGTCTCAGAGGAAAGCTCTCTTCGGACTCTTCGACGTCAGGTCTGCCGCAGGCATCAACAAGGAGCGCGGCAGAGAAGTCTACGACGAGTATTTCAGGAAGATTCGAGAGATCGTCCCTCCAGAGAACAGGTTGGAATACAAGATTGGTGATGGATGGGAACCTCTCTGCAAATTCCTAGGTGTCCCTGTTCCCGAGGGCATTGAGTTCCCCCGGAGTAACGACGGCGCAGCACTTAACGACCAGACAAACACTAGGCTACGGATGCACATGTCAAATATTGGGAACTTGTCGAAGAGCGGATTTATTGGAAAGATGCTTGCTGTATATGTATTATTATGTGGTTATATGATATACCGCTGGTTGCTCCGCTGAGCTACAAGCCTTTTCTCTTACTCAATATATTTGCTTTTCGGACATCTATCCACCAAGTCAGCTTCACTCATCATCCTTCGCGAAACAGACTTGGACATTACTGACAATCCTACACCATGACTACAACTCGTATGTGAGAGAATCCGTCCTACAGCAAAACCCGAGAGGATTACCAGAGCACAAAGGGCTGGGTCGAGCCAAATGGCATACATTTCAGGGTTAGTGCGAGATTGCTAGGACAGGCACCCATGTCTCGCCAGGAACTCTGGATTGCTTAACCTACTGCCACGAAGGCTGACAAGACGACTACAAGTACACTGCAGAGTATCTTGCATGAAGCGCGAACGGTGAGTTGAATCTGAGTCTATAACCCCGCCGACTCGCAGGTCTAGATTCTGGGCAGGCAGTCATAGAGAAAGCTAGTTGAAGAAGCCAAAACCATTGTCCAGTAACAAGTCGAAACAGCACTAGAGATACCCTGAAGTCCTGATTGCCTGATGCGGCCCTGCGGCGCAAGATGGGACTTGCGACCTTTTTGGGGCTAGTCTGTCAGCATCTAGTAAGCTTCGCTAGGTATTCTTAGCATCTGAGCTGCATTGTGATATGGTATCGGTCCGTATGGACTGATGCTGTCGCCATTTCAAACCAAGTGTTCTAATCTTGTGCACTAGCTGGAACAAACGAGTTGACGGACGGAACTTGATCACGTCATCCCAGATTCTTGGCGACATCGCCCACTGCTGTTGACACTCTTACTGAGCTGGGCCCTCCTCGTCATAATCGTTCACAGTTCGGATCGCAGCAACAAGCCTTCTCAATAGAACTGAGTTAATCCATGAAAGCAGCTCTCGCAGCTATCCAACTTATATTGGCAAGTAGTGAAGCAGAGTGATATTACTCAAATCTCGTGGGCCAGCTATTTGGGGCTATGAGGCCCCTCTGTATGAAACATCCTATCACATGTTCTCCACGCCAGTTTGGGACATGCGTCTGTGTGATGTCTAGAAATATACACTATTACTATCGATGTCCTCAAAGGAGTGATAAGTTCATTGGTCTCTCAGATTTTAGCTGACTTTCTTGAGCCTAAGCTTTTTCGTTACCATTTCGTTGTCAAGCTGTTGCCCTCTTACACCAAAGTAGGTCTCACGTATTGAAGATAGAGCTATTCAGTCTTCCCCTGATACAAGGAATGCTGACGGTTTTTACATGCAGAGATCTGTAAAGGCTACTCTAGTTGTTTCACATAGTAGAGTGAAAATAAATCACCAAGGTCAGAAAGAAGCGACTCGAATGACCCAATATATTACATTCATGCATTGAATTGTTGCGTAACTTTGTGTGAAACTTTACGCACAGTATACGCTGTGTCATCGCAATACTTGCGCCAATTCCACTGTTCATAGTCCGCAAGTTGTTGTCATGTTATATGTGACCCCAGTTCCGGACCAAAACAGCAGAATGCCGCGCAACTGGGACAGATTCACAAGATCTCAGTGACAAGAGTTCACCACCACTCCATAGGATTACGTTAACGTATATCTCTTGTATGCATTATAGTACCTTTACCCCAATTTACAATGGGTCCGTTGCCTTATTCTGTCAAGTAGGTATATTGAATACAGATATCCGCAGGTTTTGGAATACACCCTCTAGATCATATTTGGCAGCCACAGCCCTGACCTTCTCAACAGACTCTTGGCTGTACGACGCCATCGAGTCTTGAATGCCGTTAGCATAGTTCAAATACCTCCAATCTTAGTCAAGGTCCTCCTCCCTCGCAAATTGATCGACCGAGTCTAACCATTCACGCATGGGCTGTAGGGCAGCCTTCTCGTTCTTAGTACCTGAAAACCCACTGCAGTATTGAAGATAACCCCATTATAGTCCTCAATTCTTTGCTCCAGTCCCAGAACGTTACCTTCATTGGCAGCAGCATAGCTGACCATAGACTGCGTCAGTCCCTGGAAGCTGGCGGCCACGATAAGCAGATTCTCGGATGAGACTGCTGCCTCAATGCGCGACACAATCTCGTTGAGTTTCTTCACAGCATATTGGATCACACGGAGGTCATTCTTGTAAGTCGCCGTCTGCCAGATATTTCTGAGCGTGTTAGCGGGTATGCGAGGAATCTAGGGTGTTTGACGGTACGTACCAGTACCCCCTCGGTGATAGGAACTCGTCCGTGAAATTTCCAATAGTGATAGATCGTAGTGTATTTGTAGTCATACGCAGAACAGCTATGAACAGGTCGAGAGCCCAGGAAGAGTGGTTATTTAAGACATTGGTAATGAATGTCGAGTTGACCTTTCCAATGCCAGGAATGTACTCCCATGCGGTATAAGCGTGGCCTGCTAGATCTTCGGGCTGGCTATCGACGAAGTCGACCAGGGCCATGATGGCCTCCTTAGTCGAATCAGGGCTATATATAAGGGTACTGCCGTATATGTGCTTCTAGAGATTGGCATACCCTAATAGAGTCTTCATATCGAACGGAGTTACTATACCAAGATTACCAGATCCGCCTTTGAGCGTGGTCCAAAGATCTGCATGCTCTTCGGCGTTCAGCAAGAATAATCTCAAAGCTGGCCACATTATCGCAAGCCCATCCGTGCGAAGCCGACTAGAACCAATTACCTCCAAGGATGAAGCGACCAGCACCCACATCGCTATCTCGTCCGCCGGTCACAGCCACGCCGTACTTGGCTAAAGTCTTAAAGACCGCCTTTTAGCGACATCCGGGCTGGATAGAAGCCGTTTCGGTTGCGGTATTGTATGTAGTGGTGTTCATGTTACCTTTACACTATTAGCGAGACATCATGTCAAAGGCAGATCTGAACACTACTCCCCTCTCACATGGTGAACATTGTTTGCGCCTGGAGAGAGTCTATGGCCGCTACTCTGAATTCCAAAGGGACACTGGTGCGCTGTCGAGACATCCTCAGTCGCCAAAGGCAACACTATGCACCAGGACTCAAGCGAGGCGCTGACAGGGAAGTACAATTTGATGCGATCTACATAGCTGGTAGTTCAAGGACGATATACTGGGCTATCAGGGAGTTGCCGAAAAAGGGCATCATACTAGATGGCTTCTTACTTAGTGATAAGCAGCGCAAGATCTGAGAAGAGACAGGCACAAACACAAGTTTGACTAGGATAAGTTTTGGCTATTCCAAGACCTGCAAGAAGCCATAAATTCAGGACTAGAACGAGGAGGGCCCATATCCAAAAGCATTTGAGGCTCTAATCTAAACTCCGCGATCTAGAGCAGCAACTAGCAGCCCTGTACGTTGAAATCGCCACACACTTGACAGCGCAAAACGATTAGCATACAGAGACTCAAAGTCTGCGCTCGCCTCTTGATCCGACGATTGTAGTAATCCCCTTCGACTGAATAGTCCTGTAATCGTAGTGGAATAGATCGCAAATGAGATGTTAGCGCGGACGATTGACGAACTTTATTCTATTTCGCCTTCTCTCAATGACTCATCTTCTATTATCTTTGATCAGGCAACTCATAAGTCAAGAGGGTCTGATACGCGAGACTTCGCTACTCGCTTTTTCTTCTGTGAGTTCCTTATTTGCCCAGCCGACGCCGACACACTTTCCAGGGCTCATCGGAGGAAAGTATTGATTCTTTCCTTCGGAAATCTTTGCTGCAGTTTCTTGAAGACTGCTCTAATTTCTTCAAGGCGTACTATGAAGACTGTAGGAGCAAACTGTATCGATGGCTGTCAGACGTAGGTAGAGCCAAAGAGCAGGTAAACTAGGGTCCGAAGATCGCATATATATTCAGCACGCTGCTCCATTTCCTGTGAGATGGAACCATAGCTAGTTAGAATACTCAACACCACCTTGACTTGGTCCCTTGTACCCCCTAGAGGGCAAGTAGGCCCACAGCAGTGCGAAATAGTATCAATATGCATGTGTATGGCCAATAATTACCGATGCCCAGGAAACCTCTATACGCACGTCTCAACTTCGGTACGCCTGAGCGCCAGCTGTATGGGGGGGGGGACCCTACCTTTCGACATACCTCTAAAACTTCACATATGGCAAATTTTGGTGAACAGTATAATCAATACCAGATTGCCGTTTGTAAGACTTGTGCAGACAGCCCTGATGATACGCGCGGAAGAGCATGAGGGGTAGAGATCTATCTCACCGCGTTAACTCGCATAGGTCATGATAATGGATGGACGTTTTCAATTCCCTCACTGGACTTGTGGACGACAAATGCTAGAAGCTTGAGCCTTTGATTTTTAGAACGGGGGTCACAACCTGCTTTGCAGATAGTATACATATACTGTAGCGAAATAATGAAGTACCTTCTCTCTTAGGATACCTGCTGCAGTTAAAATTAACGTCAAATACCCGCCTATTGTTGAATACTACTAGTCATATAGTTCGACAGGTCGGGCAACAAGGCGCCGGAACTCATTTTCGTCGGCCTAAGACTGATAATTTCACGTGATCTTAATAACATCGAATTTGAGGCGCAAACTTGTACCCGCATAACACCGACGTAGCTTTACCTCATCGCGGTGCTAGCGCAGGCATTGCGTTCGGACTGACGACAATTGGGGATAGTTCCCCAGAAGAACGGTATGCAGGCCAAACTTTGAATTAGTAATCGATTTCTAAGTCACCAGGCAAGCATAGCTTGAAGGCCCGGCAATACGGGAATATCAAGTACACGCAAATCATTATCGGACTTCGCGTGTCCGCGAGTCCGTGGGTTGATATCTCTTTGAGGCGGTGGCCACTTCATCGACACTGGTCCAGGGCATCGAATTGTATCATGCTTAGGAGATATTAGCTTGGTTTCACATCATCGATATTCCGCATAGACCTATGCAACAGTTCTCAGCCTGGCCCTCAGCATCAGACCGGTTGATACCAAGGTGACGGCGTGGGCATAACTGTTAGAGATTAGTAGGCCCTTGGAAAGGCCGTGGGCCACTTTTGTCAAGAGCTCAATTTAAGACCAAACTTTGACAAGAGATGGGTCAATTAATCTTGGCTCCAGTGCAAGCATACCTACAACATCTTAAGACAAGGAAAACAAACCTCTTACATAATAGCAAAACAAAATCCATGTCGATTAGTCGCCAGGTCGCAAACATATTGACCAATAGAATGCTCGTATTGGCTTCGGAATTATATCCACTTTCATCCGTAAAGCCGACGGTTCCAAGATGTAGTGGCCCCTAAGCACCAAGGATACATTACATTCCCATCACCCCAGACGCATCCAACAGTCAGGGCGTTCAGATCAATACCACTCAACATCGCAGAGTATCATTTCCGCTGAGAGAATGATTGGGTATGACTTCAATCCTCCTGTCGAACTCGCAGCAAGTTTCCTGCTAGAACCAAATGCCGAGCGTTAACTCCATCCGAAGCGCGACGTACCGACGCCGAGCCTTGCAGGCACTCCATTGTCGCAAAATATGCGGAGCACAGCACCTCGTAGACCGGCCTTGAGGTGGATTGAGGCCCGAAAACTCAAACACGGCGTTAATGTGTATTTCTGCCGATGGTAAGTGTCGCTAATAGCACCAATCAGGCACTCAACATACGACATGATTGTGTCATTACTGCTGAGGGTTCTCCCATGGTCGAGCCACATTAACTGACCATATGAACATACCTACTATGTATGCTCGCTTAGGTAAGGCGTAGGAACCTCAATTCACCTCTGTCCTCTCAGGCAGCATATGGTCCCAAGCCTTAGCTTCACCAATTGAGCAATGGCACGCGATTTTATACATGGTTGAAGCCCTACTAGGAAAGTCCCCAACGGTAGGATCCAGAACTACACTATGTAGAGGGAATATTGGTGTTGATCCCTGTTTCCCCAGAACCAGACTATTTTGCAGAATTCGTATAACAAATCCAAATCTAGCCGGCAGAACTAGCTCTTATAGTACCATGTTCGCATTCAGACGAAGGAAAGAAAACGGGATGATTACTTATTCGTTTTTCTGCCGCTTATGTGTAGCGGAGTCTTACATAAATCAGACAACAAACGGTTAGTGTCTACAAGGGGCATGATGACATGTCACTAACAATGGTTATGCACAGCAATGAGTGCTAGTTTTATATATAAATAGTGCCCAGATGAGAGTTTAATACTAAAGCCCTAGCCGCCTCTTGATTGCCCACCGTTTCAGTATTACAACTGTCCTCTCATTGTAGTACCTTCTATCATCTACTTGTCAAGTTGGGATACTACATTCCAATGGCTCATATTTCCTCTTCGGGTGACGCGGGTCGTCTTTTACCGGTTGAGATCGATGAGATTGCACGCAATGACCCTCAACGTCCCTGGGCGTCAATCCCTATGACCGACAATGATCTATCTCGAGGGTATGAAGACATTAGCTATGAGGTATTGGCTAACGCAATCAACAAGCTTGCCTGGATTATTGACTCTGCCATAGGACAATCCACGTCCTTTGAAAGTATGGCTTATCTTGGCATCACTGATCTTAGATATCACATGATGCAAATGGCTGCTTGCAAGACTGGCCATCAAGTCTTGTTTTCTTCTCATCTCAACAGTCTACAGTTACATCTGTCACTCATGGAGCGGCTGAATTGTGGATCACTGTTCTATAGTGAGGACATGCAAGTTGATGATATACTTACCGCTCGGTCAATGACGCATATACAAATTCCAACACTAGACGAGCTCATAAACATTAAGGATCGCGCAAAGTGGTATCCTTATACAAAGACCTATGAGGAAGTCGCCCAGGGCCCCTATCTTACACTCCACACTAGCGGTACGACTGGAACCCCCAAACTGCTCATCTTTAACCACGAAATTATCAGGAACGCACTCTCGCAGAATTCGCTGCCAGACGTCGAAGGGCGCTCGCACGTTAGAGGTCTAATGAATCCAGGCCTCGGCACTCGCTTTCTCATGCCAACATCCCCATTCCATGTCATATCCTCAGTAATTGGGATGTGCTTCACCGTATTTGGCGGTGGTGTTCTTGTTTTACCATATCGAAGCCGCGGCATGTCTGTAACGGACCCAATATTTGAGGTGTTCACGTACTCGAGGGTTAAACAGGCAATTATGATGCCGTATACGTTGGAAGCGGTTGCCCAAAAACCTAATCCAGAGGACTATATCAAAATTTTCGAAAGGGCATACTTTGGGGGTGGTAAGTCGATCACTCTAACGGATTGTTCCAATGTGACAAATCTAACTGTGCTTTGTATCGAATAGGCGAGCTCTCTCCATTAGCTAGAGAAACATGGGCAAAATATACGCGAATCCAAAATTGTTGGGGTTCTAGTGAGTTAGGATTTCCGCCTCAGCTTGAAGCTGACCCCGAAGACTCTGAGTATGTATATTTCGACATGGAGCATAGCGGCATCGAGTTTCGAGAAATTCAGATGGGTGACAGCGCAGACGACGTAGGCCCAGAGAAGCTGTACGAGATGGTTCACGTTTGGTCACCGAAGACTGGCAAATACTCGACACATTTTGCTCGCGAAAGAGCCATAACAGGCTCAGAACCACCGTATCAAGACTTCCACGTTGGCGATCTCTGGACACCACATCCAGACCGGAACAAATCCGGATACGTCTGGCGATTCGCTGGTCGAAAAGACGACCTTATTACCCTTGGTACGGGTCTCAATGTCCGTACAGCAGCAGTCGAGGAAGCACTATTAGCACACGATCAGGTGAAGGGCGCAATAATGGTAGGAAACAAGCGCTTGCAACCTCTAGTAGTGCTCGAGCTTGTTCATGGGACACCCCAAGAGGCAGCTCATATGATTTGGAAATCGGTTATTGAGCCCCTGAATGCCAAGGCGCAGTCTCATGCACGGATTGCTAGTACACACATCTTGGTTGTGCCAGCTGGTGGACTTGTTAGGACGCCCAAAGGAACTATATCGAAAGTAAAGTCGGAGCGTAAACTCTCGAAAGAAATCGAAGAAGTATATTGGCGGTGTGGCGACGTCTGGCAGGCTGATGGTCGACCTAATGAAAACACCGTGTAGTTGGAGTATAGCTTTATTTGGTCCCAAATGATGTTATCTATATGATGAAAGTGGATTCCCGAGAGCTGATTTTAGAAATTTCCACAGCCGATTCATAATTTTATTATTGAATCCACTTTTTACTTAACCCTATAGAGATTCACGAGTAGGTTAAGGTTCGCTACAACAGTGCCCAACCTAGAGTAGGTTGCCCACTCAGGGATATTTATCTGTTTAGCTGAACAGGTGAAGGTTCAAGAATACAAATCATCCACGTTTAGGGCTCCTCCAAGGCTTGCTAGATGTAGTGGCGAGTCACGTTTTCCTCAGCTATCGGTGGCCTTTGCGGGTGTAATAAGAGCCCTGGTTTCTCCTGGTTGAACCTAAACGTGGTTTTGTTTTTTTCTGGATATGTATGCCGGTTCCTGCAGGGTTCTAACAGGCTTTGCCCAGTTCTGTATTTCCAGCCTAGCTGTTTAATGGAATATTGATCGTGAATCTAACTCATACGAGTGAGAGTCAAGGGGTCTGAACGGAGACAGCGAGTTTGGGACCCGCGTACAAATAGGTAGAAGCTAGAGAGAAGTTATGCGAGTAAGGGGCCAGTAACCTTAATTAAGAGAAATCCCATCACTGACAGTAACCTCAGTCAATTTTATGTCGGAATAGTATGAGCCCTTTTCTTGGGACAGGTCTGGATGTGCAGTAGGGCCCACTCTAAACGTGCAGTACACAACTGCACTCAGCTGTCAAAGACTATAGCGGGCTGTAACGCCTCATTAGCACCGTTTTCTCCGCACTATCTACAACTTCAAGGCTTCAACCATTATTTAACTTCTAACCTTTAATAACTCTTTGAATCCAATTTTATTACTTTTACGTATTAACGTTATACTTTTGAAATATATGATTGAAAAAGGCGTTGGCTAACAACTTACGATAACCTTACACCTTATAACCCTTGATTTTGGTGCGTTTTTCAATGTATACAGTGTGCAGATGTTGTAGTCAGCTGGAATACCCTGCTAACAGTTGTGTACTGCACGTTTAGAGTGGGCCCTACTGCACATCCAGACTTGTCCTTTTCTTGATGTATTTATCTGAAAGTGTAGTTAATTTGCTTCATGATTGTTTCGCAAACCGCTCCGGTTGTTTCCAATTCAATTCTTCTTTCAGAAACCCTTTAATAGCCGTCTTGATCTCGCCCACCGTTTTATTCCAGTTCTCACGACTTGGATTGCCATTGTTGTCCTTCATCGCGTCAACGATCTCAACCGTCTTGCCCTGCGCTAGGTACTGCCCAAGATGAACAATCCGGCCTTTACCCTCTGGTACCATCCCAGTTCCATACAACCCCAATAGTGCTTTTCGTAGCTGAAGAAGATTGTTGTACTCCCGCCTTGTGAAAACGAGGATGTAGTCGACCTTGAAGATATTCTTTGTGATACCTCTAGACCTCTGTGCCATCATTGCATCCTTGACCTTCGCTTTATACGGATAGTTGAAGAATTTGTTTTCGAAAAGTGCAGCCATTGCTACTTCCGCTGGCAGTTTATTCCCTCGACTGAAGTCTTGTGTTGATTGCAGAGTTAAGCGTTCTAGGATATCGATGCAGTCGCTGCGATCCCGGACAAAAAAACCAGCTGAATGCGCAAAAGCGACAGGCCATTTCCCTCCGGTTCCCACCGTCCATTCTTTTGCCAGCTTAGTGTAAGCTTCTGAAACTCTGCTGCGTCCGAGATTGTAGGGGTCCACGTAGATAACACCAACAGCGTTGTGATTAGCACCGTCTTGTTGGTCTACCCGCAGTTTTGGCCCGGCTTGAGGTGGAGGATTGTTGTTCCGAATATTGGAAAGAAGGGCATTAGTACCAAAGATGCCCATTAGCTGCAAAGTTTGCATCAGCTTCTGCTTTGAGCGGTCAACTGTGTCGCGCATCTCGTTGAGTGTCTCTTTGTTGTATCCCAGGGCGAAATAGATGTCTGTTGCAGTCTTGAACCGGAATGTAACACCGAATGGGCCTTGATCATTTGTATATTTCCAAAATAAGTCTTTGATTGGCCGGGCACTCTTTTCCAGATTCTTGATATCTGCCCTTGCCTGCTCTGTCAACATCGGTCGCAGTCTTGCCAAAGCGCTATTAGTTTCTTCATTTACCAGTTCTTTGACACTGAGTATGAACAACTCTAGACTCTTCATCTCTTCGCCAAGATTTCTCAAGAGTTCTGGGCCATCCCTGATTTGATTATAGAGCTCTAGAGCCACCTGAACAAGGGCGAGGGCATCACCAAACGAAAGCGGGGAACTCATAGTAGTGAGGATGGATTTTGAGCTTCTACCACTAGCCTCTTTAATATTTAGGGCGAGGTCGTATGAAAGAAATGTTTCATTGCATTCTTCAAGAGAGATCTCATTAAAGTGTCTGCAACTGGTTTGTAAAGCTACATATCCAGCTGACACATGAGATAGAAGCTAGGAGTCTCTCGGATCGGCTAAACATGATCCGCGGAGCTAACCACCTACAGCGTAATTATCTGACGAGAGAAAATATGTGCACAAGCCAATGCGCCAAGCCAAATGCGATATAAAGTTCTGTTTTGGAACTTCCATATCTGATGGAAATTCCACCTAAAGGTCGTGTATCGGGGTATATGTATTTCTCGAAGTTCATCGCACATAGGTAGTACGTTGAGAGCATGCATTTTAGCGTGTGGCATAGCCAGCGCGTCCGAGATTCTGGACACTAACAGTAGAGGCAAGGGGGGCAAGAAGAAAAAGTAGTTATGTTGGCCACGCCCCTTTGCTTTTAGGTGTTTGTCCTAAGTCAATTCAATTAATTATCACTTCTTTTTTTATTTGATTGTTGTTGCAGTTTGCAATATAACACCGTGTTATACGTAGTACTTATAATGTGGAATTAATGTCCCTACGTTTGTTCTGTGCTCCCGTACCTCCAGACACCACTAGTCAGCAGGATAGCCCACAGTACAAATAGTCGTTTTACACTTTTGAGACTCAATGAAACTATCCGTCAACATAATCATCGTCGTCGCCATCGCTCGTGACTTCATCGCAGTCCCCAGTCTCGTCGTCATCATCGTAGTCTCTAGCTTCCTCTTTATCATCGACGTCGCTCCCAAGGTTGTGGAAGTAGTTGTCAAGATCTCCGCCATCCTCATTGCTGTCTCGGAGTTCCTCATCTTCGACACCGCTGAAAATTTCGTGAAAGTTCAGGGCAATCTCTTCTTCCTCTTCTTCTCCATCGTTCAAGACTTCGTACGTCTGGTCATTACCAACGCCGGCTTCCTGTAGGCGTGTGAGAAAGTCGTTGGCCTCCTCATCACAGATCTTCCATCCGCTTTTACCACTCTTCATTGTCGGCGATAACCAAGAATCACTCTTGCCAGGCAGATGCATATCTAAAGCCCGTCGGAGGTATGCAATGGCGAGTCGATACGCCATCAAGACGTCAACCCCAGTGTCGTGGGCTTCCAAGGTCAGCTTTCTATCCTCGGGGAAGACAGTACCATAGAGATTATCGAGGTTTAATGGAAGTGTAGTTGCAGTCAAGATCACAATCTTGTGAGCCCCAAGCCACGGACGTTTTCAAAGAACCGTGTTTCTGGATAAAAAAAAAATTAATATCATCGCAGGAAGAGGGGCTTGGATATCTTACTAACCTTGACGTATTGATCAATGAGGTCCGCGATCTCTTGGTAGCTCTTACCCTGAGTGATCTCCTCTTGCCTACCAGGATAGTAGGTGTGAACTGTGGCAGCTGCAATACAACGTGAAGGTCCTGTGCGGGCCCTTATGCTCATAATTCGGTCGAGAAGGCACCTTTTGTGATGTTGTGATTGATTGTTGTGGGAACAATGATCCACTCGGGGTAACCGTCAACGATGGCGACCTGACAAGGGAATCTTAGGCTGCCAGGAAAGGTGATAAATTCGAAGTCGGCGAGGGCAGTGTTGGTAGGATACTTCATCCACGCCGTCATGGCAGAGACACAGTCTCTCAAGAGAGGAAACTATGCTGCTTCATGTCGTCGAATAGATTGATGTATTCCATACTTCGCGCACTTACGACACATAGCCGGCAGCGCTTTGGAACATGCTTTAGCGTGTTCGAGTTTTCCGAAGCCAATATCTTATCTTTGCAACAGCGGAAGCATTTCCAGTATTCGCAGACTTTGTAATGTTCTTGGAGGTTAGCGAATGTTTTAGGGCACCTGTGGCAAGAAAATGATTGTTGGCCGGTACATTCTTGGGAATGTTTCTCCTTCTCTGTTCGAAGAATGCTATTTCCCCTGCATTTGCGGCATCAATACCATTTGTAGATCTTTGCATGTGCTGCTTGTTTGCTCTTGAGAAGTTGCAATCCGCACCCCCAACAATTCGTAAGTGGCAGTCCACAAATATGTGTCTCCCTTTCACTCATCGGCATTACTCTCTTGCACTGACTAGCAGGGCATCTCCATTTCTCCCTGGGGTTATAGTGGTCGATTGGAGGATGATTGTACTCTCCTCTGGGGCTAGTAATAACCCGGGGTCATCTTTACGCTTAATCGTAATTCTCCAAGGACAGAGATGGGTTTGACCGTGCTGCCGAAGTGGAGACTTCAGCCATCAGTATCGCACGCAAGAATATTGTCTGTTGATGAAGTCGCCTGTAGCGTTCCGACAAGATACGCGTTGGGTTGGAGATAACCATCGAGGGCCTACTTGGCTGATTCTAGGTCAGGAAAGGTGCGACTCAAGACGTCATCTAGTGTCGCAGCTTTGTCGTTCTTGAGTATAGCTTGAGGTAACGATTGTCTCAAAGAACATCGCTTGCCTTGACCACCGTAGAAACAGTTGGCACATGAACCAAGCATAGGGTCATCAGCAGAGGGAGGATCATTGACAATGCATGCTTCCCAGCGTCCGAAGCCTCACGCGCAATGTCCGCGTGGGGTACCGGCGACAACTCTACGCGCTTGAAGTAGCCTAGACTTCAGATTGGATTGAGCAGCTGGTTGGTATGGTCGTGCGTAAATCCTTTCTTCCAGGGGACGGACTGCTGCATCGAATGTCGCTTCGTAGATACAGCGATAAAGCAGGGAAAGAGGGCGGGCTATTGACATCTGGGTACGTGTTGCGCACTTCGATGTATTTCGCGTATAACTTGCCAAGATGTCACAGCTTGGAAAGAGCCTTTCCCTAGGCAGTTAGTTGGTACCCGGAGATGGTAGAAAGGTCGAGGTTATGTGCGCTTGCCGACATTCTTCTCGTGCGTACCAAGAATAGTGTTCCGAGGTGCAATTGTTTCCATTCTAGAGCAAGGAAGGGATAAGAACTATCCTTGACCGTGCTGGATAAAGAAATGAAGTTTTCCTGGGAAGCACCTTAGCAAACTTGGTGGTGACAGAGTGGTGAGATCGGTGACGCAGGTATCACGTGACTACCATGTTGACTTGTCCGGTCACGGCCCCCACGTGACCTGCCCACACGTAGCTCCACTTCTCTTAGGTTTATCAAGAAAAATATCTTCAATTCTTCTGAAAGCATTGAACTCAACCCTGGCAGATAAGAACGCAGTCAGCACATCATGGCGTCTGGAAAGACACCTGCAGAAAACATGCTATGGGGTGGACGCTTCACAGGTTGGTTCTTTATGGAAGTTCAAGTGCAATGTGCTGACCTCAGAATGACAGGCGGCCTCGATTCCCTCATGCACAAATACAATGCGAGTATTGGGTACGACAAGCTCCTGTATAAGGAAGATATCCTCGGCAGTATTGCGTTTGCGCGCGCAAACGCTAAATCTGGCATCATATCCAACAACGAGTTCACTGAAATCGAGAGAGGTCTTCGGGAGGTTCAGAAGGAGTGGGAGGCAGATACCTTCGTCATCATGCCTAATGATGAAGATATTCATACTGCCAATGAGCGCCGGCTCAGTGAGATTATTGGCAAGGACATCGCCGGCAAACTACACACGGGTCGCAGTCGCAATGAGCAGGTTGTCTGTGATATGCGTCTGTGGCTTCGCAACCAGATCCAGCAGATTGAGAGCCACCTAATTGCCTTCATTGAGGTTATTGCCGGCCGCGCTGAAGCCGAGTGGTAAGTCTGATTATCCTCCAAATCTAGTGACCCTCCTGACCTTAATAGCGGCATTATCATGCCTGGATATACCCATCTCCAGCGTGCCATGCCGGTTCTGTGGTCGCAGCATTTGTTATCATATGGCTTTTACTTTGCGAGCGATCTTGAGCGGCTGCGCGAGACTTCAAAGCGGGTAAATAGGAGCCCACTTGGTTGTGGTGCCCTCGCTGGCAATGGCTTCAATATCGATCGCGATATGATGGCTGAGGAGTTAGGCTTTACAGGCCTTCTCTGGAACTCCATGAATGCTGTTGGTGACAGAGATTTTGTCACTGAGTTTCTACAATGGGGTAGCATGCTCATGCAACATATTTCTCGATGGGCCGAGGATCTTATTCTCTATTCCTCTACAGAGTTCGGCTTTATTGCTCTTGCTGATGCTTATTGTACTGGAAGTTCTTTAATGCCGCACAAGAAGAACCCAGATGGCCTAGAAATCTTGCGAGGAAAAGCTGGTCGAGCATTTGGCCATATGGCTGGCCTCATGATGACTCAGAAGGGCCTACCTAGCACATACCAAAAGGACTTGCAGGAAAGTTGGGAACCTATGTTGGATCATGTGAAGACCATCTCTGATAGCCTTCAGATCGCAAACGGTATCCTCAATACCCTTACTGTTAAGCCAGAGCGGATGAGGGCTGCCCTCGATCCATTCATGCTGGCTACTGATCTTGCTGATTATCTCGTACGAAAGGGTGTACCCTTTCGTGAGACGCACCATATCTCTGGGCGATGTGTCGCTAAGAGCGAGGAGCTAGGTATCCCGATGAACGAGCTCTCACTGGAGCAACTCCAGGCTATTGATAGCCGGTTTGGGGAGGATGTTTCACACACGTTTGACTATGAGAGAAGCGTCGAGTTGAGATCAGTCAAGGGTGGTACTAGTCGGGCACGCGTCCTGGAGCAGGTCAAGGTTCTTAAGGCTATGCTAGCTTAGAGAGGCAGTAGGAGAGCTTGAGCAGAGTCTTGTTGTTCATCAGGAGTGAAGGCGACATATCGGGAATGTGGACTTGTTGCGATTTCACACTTCTAAGGCTTAAACTTGTCTGCCATCCAGTAGCGGTTGTGCGATCAGATAATTTACGGCGCTTGCGTCGTGGTGGCCGGGTATCCTACTCGCTGTCGTTGTCCCGGTATGAACTGAGAACCTCTTCCTCGACATCCACAACTCGCCAGCGGAGACTTACATCGCGTCGAGAGTTCGTTTTACGGCTTTTGCGAAGAGGCTGGTGAATGTCATTGTCTTCGTCTGATCGCAAAATTTCCGTTTTGTTAGGATTGTGGTTGGCATCCTCAACGGAACGATGGTGGCGACGGCGAACCGCAGCCCTCCTGTGGCCCGCCCTCGGCTAGACGCGAGACGACTCAACTTCGTCGCTGTGATCGCTGTCCCCCTTAGAATCGAAGCGTGCCACGCCTTCTCGATGGGTGGTGTCCTCCCGTCGCAGTGAAGATATAGTGAGACAGCCTGGCACAGATTTGGTCTGCTTCACTGGGTAAGCGCAGGACGTCAGCGCGAAGTTTAGCGGGTTCTCTCAAATACTATGTACGCCTTGGACAGCCCGCTCCATCCAGGCCATCTGAAGCATCCTCTCTCACCATCATTCAACGATCTCAGGCAGCATGTCCCGAAAGGCGGCAGGCACACGAAAAGCGACGGATAAAACGTATTCATTCCTTAGTAAAGGGTTACTCATCTCTTCAGAAAAGAGTGCGATACGCGTTCCATCAGCTGAAGTACGGATAGCTAAACTCAACGTAACTAATCCACTCCAAACCTGTTTTTGCACGTTGAGTTAGATGCGGTATTTTTGCTATTGGTCGAAATACGAGTCGTCGAAGCGAAAGGAAATTAAAGGAACGAAAGAAGAGGGAAAGGGGGTAAAGTATTTATCAAAAAGAGTTGACTTCATCATTAAGCTCAAAATACTTGAATATATAGGTTGATAGCAACATATGAGTTAGGAGTAAGGGTATGAGAAAAAACCGATGCTCTGGGTATTCAGCTACCTAGTAGTAATGCGATATATATGCTGATAAAGGAAGACATGTTGCGTAGTAGTGGGTAATGCTATTATAAAGGTCGTGAATCTTCATGGGATTAACGACGCCTTTTCCCGTGACAAGATGTTTCCACTTGACTGGTTAGGCCTGCGGCGCTACTTGATAGATATAGAATCGATATTTAATGAAGGATATCTCGGATATATACAGTCCACTGAAGGTGCTTAGGCTGTGCCATGGACTATCCGCTTCAAGGCTTTACCCTACTAGCAATAGTCCTATGATATGAAACACTGTACAGATGAAATCCAATTCTTACGAGATCACTACCTGCACATCACATACCCATTCTACTTTCACGGAGTTATACACAACGAGGTAGGCAGATGGTTGTTGACAAGTGGTGACTTTTCATATTAATATCAGGAGGATACTATATCCCCTCTCTATGATTATACCTATCTAATGAAGCCCTGGTCATATCGGGCACTGCAACTGATGCGAAGCATGATCGCCATTCCACCAACGCCGCCCGCAATGCTTGAAATAGGAAACACAACCATCTAAACCCGCTGAATGCTTAATTCTAGACGTATTTCCTTCTTCCCATCCGTAGAAAAGACCTAGATTACAATATCTTACGCAGTTTTATACAAGGAACGAAATGTATGTGAGGCAACATGGGCAGCTTCTGTCTATGCGAAGCCTGCCTCGATCTTCTTGCCTTTGACACTCTTCCACTCCACGAAAGCAGCTCCAAAGATTGAAACGGCGATGAGGGCAGTGGCGACGATGTAGGCGGTGGTAAGAGCGTTATTGTAGGAGAGAATGACGTCTGGGACAATTTCGGCGGGGAGTGCCTTGCGTAGGTTGGTGCTACCGACGCTGATAATGGTCACAGGGTCGACGTCCGGCAGGTGCTTCCCGAGCTCCTCGACTAACTTGTTGTTAAAGACGCTGTTGCCAACAGAAACGAAAAGCGCACCACCAAGGGTTTGCATGAAAGCGATGACAGAGGTGCCGATGGGCACATCCTCAATACTTAAAACGGTCTGAACGGCAACGAGGGGTTGCTGGAGGCCAGCGCCGATACCAATGCCAAAGAGGATCTGGTATCCTATCCAAACACCAGTGCTGACATGGGGTGTCCAGGTAGTTAGTAAACCAGCGCCGATGGACCCAATGATTGTACCAAAAATCATGAAGGGGGTGTAATAGCCGAAGGTCGTGATCAAGCCACCGGAGATGATCGAGGTAACCACTACGGCGAGAAGCAGAGGCAGGTTGCGGATGCCAGAGTTAACGGCCGAGACACCCTGCACAGCTTGAAACCAGATAGGAATGTAGTAGACAAAGAGGAAGAAGGCGGAACCGACAGTGAAGGCGAAGAAGCTGCCCGCCATGACGGTGCGTTGCTTAAAGATCCGAGGAGGGACTGTGGCATTCTCCTGCTGACGGTATTGGATGAATAAAAAGGCGAGGAGGAGCACGCCGAACACGACGAAAAGTGCAATGACTCGTCCGCTGTTCCAGGGGTACGTTACGCCACCCCACTGGAGAGCGAGCAGAAGAGTGACGATAGCGGGGATGAAAATCAGGGTGCCGAAGGGATCGAAGCGCATCAAACGCTGTTGCCAAGTCTCCTGTGGCGGCTTCCTCTGAACAGGATCGGGGAAGAAGAAGCCAATCACGATCAGAGTTACTGCTCCGATGGGAAGATTGATGTAGAAACACCAACGCCAGGTCACTTTGTCGGTGAAGACACCGCCGAGCAAAGGTCCGGCGACGGAGGCGATACCATAAACACCACCAATGAGACCACTGAAAATCTGTCAGTAAACATGCGAAAGTTCGGAGGTTAGATGACGCACGTGTATAGAGGTCGCGTGGCAAGCGGGACACTGTGGGCGAGAATCAAAAGGGCCCCGGAGAACAGGCCGGCGGACCCCAAGCCGGCAACGGCTCGGCCAATAATGAGGGTCACTGAGTTTTGAGCAACGCCACAGATCAAGCTACCAACTTCGAAGATGAAGATGGCGGTCATGTAAACCCACTTGATGCTGAGGAAGGTGTAGAACTTTCCGAACAATAGCTGGAGAGCGGCAGTTGTGAGAAGATAGGCTGTCTGTCGTTAGTTCAACTGCCGTGATTGGTAGTTGGGGATCGCTTAGTAGAGACTCACCACTTCCATACCAACCGACATCATCGAGACTGTTGAACTGCTTGGCGATCGCCGGGATGGCAGTAGCGATAATAGAGTTACTTGGGTGTCGCCATTAGCTTCCATGCATCTCCATGACGGTAATGATATCGGTACTCACTCAAGTGCAGTAAGGAAAACACTAAGACACAATGCCACCGAGATTAGAATGAGCTTGGTGCCCGAGGGGTATTCTGTGCCATCTTCTCGGGTCTCGGTGGGGTGTAAGGCACTGCCGTTCGTTGTGCGGGCTGTCTGGACCTTTGCTAGAGCATCGGCCAATTCAACGTCGTCTGCGGCAGATGATTCATCTTTGACGATTGAGCTTCTCGAGTTGCCGGAACTTGATACCGGCTTCTCGTAACTGACTACGCTGGTAGTGCTCGGGGCCAGATTTGGCTCTTGAGATGGGGCTAATTGCGCCGCCACGGAAGGCGGCTGCTGTCCCTCGGGTGTTGTCAGCATTTGGGGAATGCGAAGTTGTCTCCTGATATCCAATAGGGTGTCCTGCTATCCTCTTGCGGGCTGGTCGGTTGTGCTATGTCGAATCGAAGGGAGTTGTGGATGGTGATGGCGATGATGGTGTTGATATCTGATTGATAGGCAGCTGGAACGCAATTGCCCCGGGGGGGCCAGGCATCATTAAATAAGATCATCTCGGTAGCCCTTGCCTAGATCCACGAACTCGGGTCCCCTGCAATGTCCAACACCGCATTGGTTATGCCATCTCGTCAATTGCCCGAGCCAGGTCTGCCAGGACTCTCGGGGTCAACGTACAGTCCGTCGGGTGGGTATTGCTGGATTGGTGTGCAGGGCGGGACTCCGCCTCCCTGGGTCAGTGCTTGTACTTACACTACAGTACTTAAGGCTGTAGCGCTGCTAGCGGTACCTGCCCAGTGGCCTGGACGACCGCTGTAATGTAGGTACCTCGATCTCATCTGTCATCCCAACTCCGCCACGTTTTTTTTCTTCCCCCTTTGACAGACTTTGCTCTATCGCGAGTTCGTTTTCGCCAGACCCGCTGAATAATGTCATGAACAAACGTCGTCACTATGCATCATTTTGAAGCTGAGCCAATGAGAGGCTACTGTGGGCCATCTTCTAGGTACTAGCTAGGAGCTGAGTTGGATCATCCCAAGGCCTACCTATTATCATGATTCATAACTAGTCCCCGTCCTGTCTTCTGTCAGTGCCCTCTCCATTCTATCATGTTCCGCTCTGTTCTCACGGGCGCATTTCCTAGCTCCATGCCGAGCTGTGCAGCAAAGATCTCGGTGCTAGCATTCATAGCGGATATGAAACATCATGATGCGGGATCCTTCCAAATGTACAAGTCGACACTACACTTACTTGGTACACAGACACACTTGGACGCTTACTTGCACTGCTTGCCTGAGATGCGAAACTCACACGTCGCAACATCATCCTTGCGTTCTTAGCCTGGCTAAGATGGATACGTTAACTTTGGCGCGAATGATTCATTCTCTCGCCCCGTGATGTACGCCATTTCGAATCTGCCAAACCTGAAGTTGAACATTTTCCTGGCAGCTGAATGGACAATCCTTTACGATCAATACGCGATGGTAAGATTCTGACACCGGGCATAGCGACAGCTCTGCATCTTACCTGGTACTATGTATACAATGTACGTGGCATGTCATGGGAAAAGGCCTACCGTATTTACGAAGTGGTGTACTTACTCAGAAAACGTACATGTAGCTGGGGTTGCATCTGGAACCGTAAGACCCATCTAGGCAGTCCCCTAACGTTACTACGATCTTTTAACACGTGTACACTAACTATCTCAGGTTAAACGTCTACCTCCTGGTGATTGCATGATTCATTGAGAAGAAAGCTCTTCCCAGGAAAGTTTTTCTAGTTTTTCTAGTTGATGGGTTCATCCGTTGCAAAAGAGGACTAACAAAAGGATAAATAAGTACTTACCTAGCCAGCCTCGCCAGCATCGTAGGGACCGAGAAACACAAGGAATAGGTACTGTAGATAGGTATGACTCAAAAAACGCAAGGCCGTTCTTAGTGTACGCTAAGTACTGGGTGGTCATGTCAGGCCTTGGTCATACGATGATACTGTGGCGTCCCCTGTGCCAGTGTACACTACACTAGGTTCGATTCATACGGAACTTTTTAGATTTGACAAAACTTCAGCAATCTCTTCATCGCCACTAATCCCATTAGTGTGGTATGGTATGCATCTACTAAACTAGTGCCCGTCCATGGACTCGGTCGCAAGGCTCGGGCTCGGTACCACCAGATCTCCGTTTCCGTGTTCTAGACATCAAAAATATCTTCAGGCATGGAGCAGGGTTACACCAACCTTCCTACTCTAAGCGAGGAGTTAGGGTAGTTAGAGTAAGGTTGCATGGGAATTTGGGTGGAACTGGTGCCTGGCCCCTGTTGATTGAGTCCGCCGGCCGGCGGAGTTAGCGGTCAATTCAGTTGCCCTATTACCAAATTCCGCCGTTTTGTCCGCCAGGCAGCAAAGATCTTTCCGCTATGCGGTGATCAAGCAATAAGGCATCTTAGATATCTGCATAGTAGATTGTTCTTCGGTCAGTATTCAGTTGTCAGACCCCTCAAAGAGAACGAAGCTTGCCATTGGTTTCATCTACCTGATGACGTTCCCCGCTGTTTATTTTGTTTTAACCCTGCTCATAGAGGGTTGCGCAAGCAAGTGTAAGGATAAGATCTTGGCATTTGTCGCACTGAAATTGCATTTTGGCGGTACTCCTTTCCCCTTTCTCAAACCCCTGATTCTATTGTCATTCTCTAAGTACACCAAAGTCATTCCATATTGTTATACCATCACCAGAGCAACATCCGCAATATTATTCCTGATTGGCAACACTCAGGTAGAACCAAGTATGCCCCCCGATGAAGCAGGAGAGCGGCGAAGAAAATCTCACAGTGGCATAGAAGCAGAGCAAGATAAAGCATGGTCAATTGTCAATTGTCAAGAGTATCACGGAATTCCGCCCTGTGCCCCTAGTGACTGCCGCGTGCCTCTGCTCTACCTAAAAGTAACAGGGAGATGATGCTGAGGATGGAAGAGAGACCTTGGGAACACGTGCTTTGAGCAAGGACTGGTTTGAGCGACTCTCTTGTTCAAAAGATGAAGCAATGGGTTTCCATGAGGAGACTTAGTGAGCCATCTCAGAGCCACCGAGTCCTCTAATAACTATCTGTTTAAAGCTCGCGTATAATGGGGATGTGAAAAAAGGTCTGAATCACAGCATTAACGGCTATTCTATATCTAGGCCCTACGGGTGACAGCTTGCCACTAGCCCACGAGCGCGTACCGTGTATTATTATCCATCATTAATTCTGTCGTCAGCATATATATTATCCCCGCGGACCAGTTCAAAACACCTTGAACCCTCGCATATTTCACGGGTCAGCATCCGCCATGTCCCGTTTATAACGCTGCAAGGCCCTCTCCTTGCTCTGCTTCCAATCCACGTGCGGCTTCGGGTAACCCAACTTCTCGAACGCGTCCTTATCCAAGCGATGAAAAGGATCGAAGATAGCCTTCCCTTTCACGTCCCTCAACTCCGGGACGTATTTCCGGATGTAATCGCCGTGCGGATCGCATTTCTCGGCCTGCGAGATGGGGTTGAAGACGGTGTAACTCGGCTCCCACCCCTGCGTGTTGTTGCATAGGTCCCAGTCCACCAGGTTCTCCGCGAACCACCGCTCGCCCCGGCGGTAGTCGAGAAGCAGGTTCGTGCGCAGGTACGAGGCGACGTTCATCCGCAGACGGTTGTGCATGTACGCCTCGGCTATCAGCTGGCGCATGCCGGCGTCGACGAAGGGAACGCCCGTGGTGCCCTCGCACCACTTGCGCCATCCATCATCATCCTCCTCCCATTCCACGAAGTTGAACTTTAGGTTCTGCGGGAGGTTCATGCTGTTGTGCGGCGTCACTACCATCATATGTCGATAAAACTCGCGAAACACGAGCTCGCGTACCCATGCTGCGAGACCCTCTTCATTGCCTGAAGACGAGAAATCCGCGCTGCCGCTGTTGCGCTCCTTGCGCGATGTGGAGAGGACTTCCCGTACCGATACCACGCCTGCGGCGAAGTACGCCGACATACGCGATGCGTTGTCCTCGGCCGGGATGGAGCGGTGCTTCGCGTATGAGTCCACTTTCTCGTTTAGGAATTTCCGTAAACGTTTCATGGCTGCTTCGTGGCCTGCTGGCCACAAACCGCGTATTCGATCACGATCTTCATCGGATGGGAATAATTTGTCTTTGGGGAGTCTTGGGAAAGTCTTCTGGGACCTAAATAACTCCTGTAATTTCTGTCGCGCGGCTTTGTCGTTGGCAGATGGCAGGCCAACCGTGTCAATGAGACTTGGGTCCTCGGATACAGTACTTAGCCACGCCTTATGGTACGGCGTGAATACTTTATGCGGACCCCCGGATCCTGTGAGGAGGGTCCCCGGTTCGACCACAGTCTGATCATGGTGCAGGTCGAAGTGGACGTTTCCGTCCGCTTCGATGCGATCGAGGAGATCCAGATCCCGCCGGATCTCATCGACCTCGTACTCATAATTTGCGTACACGTGGCTGACGTCATATTTCGCAATAAACTCCATGATCTTCTCACCTTTCTGGCCCCGTTCCTCAGCGGCCAGGATGATAAGTGGGATGTTTAGACCGTCGAGTTGTTCCTGCACTAGACGCAGAGATTCGAACATGAAGTCTGACCGCGCGGGTGAAGTGCCATGCCATTGTAGATCTTTGGGTGAGTATAGGAAACAGGTGATTAAGGTGCTTCCGCTTTCGCGCGCTTGCTGTGATGCGGCGTGCAGCGCGCGGTTGTCCTCTGCCCGCAGATCTTTCGAGCGGAACCAGTGCAGAACAGTGCGTGGTTTGATATTTGACAAAGAGGAGTGCGCTTCAATGCGCTCTTTGAGTTTCTTGTAAGGGTTGTCTGTAGAATCGACCTCCTTCGCCCGTTTTGTAGAGGGGTGCTTCAACAAGTCCGAGGACGCGCTGCGCTCGTGTTTCTTGCCCTCCCCCATCTTCCTTTTTGTCGCGTTATAGTGATTACTGGTGCTTATCGACCATACCTTTATGAGTGGCGAAGCTTTGTTGCAACGGGAGATAAAGTAGCCAGCATTACTGTAAGAGGTAAGCTGCAGGCGATGAGTTGGGTGTTGGGCGAGAGCGCTTCGGACCGCTGGTCTGAGCAACGATGGCATTGACGCGAACACACAGAACTGTTATCTGTCACATTTTTGAAGCCGTTCAAACTGGCGGTATCAGCTTTAGGATCATCTTTTGTAAGTAGTTGTGATTGTTGAGTGTTCATGTTTGGCTCATTGATGAAAAGTCTATGACGTATCGGCATCGCCAGTCTCACTGTTAGTGCCGATCGTGAATGTAGAAAAATCAGAAAAATGGTTTCAATCATCGAGAATTGAAAGGAAACACAGAATATGAGCCTTGACATATTATATCATGAAAAATTAACATGGTCTTTCTTTATTGGAGCGAATGAGTTACCTGCGTCACACGTCAATATCACATTTTAGGTGGTCTCAGAACGGTTGAACAATTGCAGGCATAGTAACGCTCGCAGCTCATGGTTACCTACTTACACACTAGAACTCACCAATTAGCAAACACTAGGGTACTGATTTAGCAAAAGTCTTATAAGTACTGAGAAGCTGTATACGTATAATAAAACATCAAACTTCTTTCAATTTCTTGTTTTTTCTCTCTTTTTTTCCACAGATAGCGCCTTCAAAAACAGGAGTACTTCTGTCTTAGTGTTGGGACTAAGTGTTATATTAGCATAGCTGAAGTTATTGCGTACGACATATTATATCCTGTTTCTTCTCATCCGAAGTGAGGAGGAGGGACGCTAGTCTGGTCAATCATTACTTGTGATGGTTATCTCTCTCGTTAGATTTTCACTACTAGAGATAGTGTAACTGAGACTAACGTTTGCTCGGGAGACTGCCCATGTGCCTCCCTGAGCCTATGTGGTGGCGTCGAGCTCAGCTACCGGTATCACGGTACTCAGTACCTTGGAGGAATCATATTTCCCGGTGTGAAGGTCACTAAATGCCAAAGAGTAGACCCCATTCTTGAACGCAGTAGCGCTCACATGGTTGCGCCATAGGCTAGCGGGATTATCTATTCTCACGAGAACATCGGACAATGGCGTAGCACCCTCCTTTCGAAGATTAATATTTCCAATCTTTGGGTCGATGAACAAGAGGAATTCGACGTAGCCCCTCTCCTGACCGTTATGGCTGCTGTTAAGGAGACGAAAAAGTTTGAACTTTATAGCACATGTCAAGCCAGCGCCAATATACTGCAAGCCAACAGAGCTGCCCTATTAGTCGAGCCATACCGTGCTGTGCAACCTAGAATGTCATGGGAATTCGTATGCAACAATTGAGTCGCTGGTATCTTAAAAACGCCATAACCCCATAATACTCCCAACTTCAAGTCTATATCTTATCTAAATGCTCTGAGCGTCGCATTCTAAAATGACCCCACGCGCTAACTTTTAATTCGAAAGTATAGTATTCTTCACGATCCACGGATGATGGAGGACATCCTTAATCGGCAATCGTTTTGACGGTTCTAGAACCAGTAACTTCAAGATCAGTTAACTTTATGTTATCCATTATACGGTGGATTGAAGCGGACACTGAATGAATATTAAGAGTTTGCGGAATAACAACAGACGAAAAGGGAAACATGCTCACCGTGTCGACAAAATCCTTAGCTTCAGGCGATATGAAGGAAGGGAGAGGCTTCATATCCCTCTTCAAGATCCGAGTCCGCGTCATCGGCAAGCTATCCTCAAACGGGGCCTTGCCCGTAAGAAACTCGTATGTTAGGACCCCCAGCGTCCACTGGTCGACGGCCCTCGTGTAACTCTCCTTCCGCGACTGCAGCATCTCAGGCGGCAAGTAATCCAAAGTACCACACAGCGTCTCCCGCCTATTACTAGGAGAATGGACGCTGTACCCGAAATCAGCAAGTTTCAGTTCGCCGTGTAATCCGAGGAGGATGTTCTCGGGTTTCATGTCGCGATGCATGACATTCTTCCCGTGCAAGTAATCCAATGACAACGCGACCTGGGCGATGTACTTCGCCGCACGGCGCTCCGAGAAGCGGCCCACGCTCTGCAGAACCCGGTATAGCTCGCCGCCCGCGGCGTACTCGAGGATAAGGAATATGCGGCGAGAGTCGTGAAACCAGCCGTAGAATCCGAGAACGCCTGGGTGGCGGAGGTTGCTGTGGACTTCGATCTCGCGTCTCACGTGCTTCTCGGCCTCTTCGCGGGCAATTTCGTCCTTGTTTAACACTTTGAGGGCGCAGATGTAGCCTGATCCCCAGTGTCTGGCAAGGTACACTCGGCCGAATTTGCCCTTGCCTAGGGCTTTTCCGATCTCGAATAACCCGAGGTGGAGTTGTGTATACGGAGGAGATTGGACATGGCTTATGGTCGCAGTCTGTGAAGACTTCTCGGCGAGAGGGGCGGGCCGTATGCGATTAAGAACTGCCTGCTTATGAAGCTGAGAGACGCCGCCTCGGAGCGGTATTCTGGCTGTCGTACGCTGTGTCTCGGTCACGGTGGTGGTGGCGATCATCGCGTCAAGGCGTAAAAGAGCGTCACACACGGGCGACAGGCAACGTCCAAACTTGACTCCTATGGATTGGTCGAGTCAAGTGAAAGGCCAAGCAAGGGTCGCCTGGGTCTGCCTGGGAGAGGATCCTACGATGATGCCCGCACCAGTCGGAAGTGTTGGCTTGTCCTCGGCACCTAATTTAGCTGCAGATCCCGACGTAACAGTTGGTGTGGATGGCTGACGAGGGCTGGTAGTTGCTAGAGCAACTGGGGACGAAGGTTAAATCTGCCCCGCACATCGCCCCGCCATCCCCTCCATCTCCTCCATCCCCGCGATCTTCGTCATTACAGCAAGTAAGCACCTAAAACTATCCGGACGGCATGTTCCGCCAAGGTTCAGTACCAGATTGTTATCAAGGAGGTAGTAGTTATTTATCTATGTGAGTGACCTATCTAGGTACTAAGAATTCCTTTGAGCCTGGGCAAATCGTAGTCTATCGATCCCTCTCTCAAGTTATCGGGCGGTAAATACGTCGAGCCAGCCATCTAAAGTGAGGCAGTGTTCTGGGGTAAGGTGATACCTAGTTGGTTGTGAGATAAGAGGATTTGACAGAACTCGGACAGCTATCGTCCAATATGATTCTAGATAAGTATAGGTAGGTAGGTAGGCTTCCGTGGTTATACAGAACACGAATATACAGCTGAGGACACCTTGAAATACATCCCATGGTAGCGGCAAAGCTTGATCATCACCTTGACTCAGATAGAGGCAGCGGGAGATGCACTATTGGCAACTTAACATAAGACAATTTTGTCTCGAGCGTTGGCACTCAAACAAGACTATGAGACCATCCATGGCTGTTTCGCTCTTAATCAACTACCTTGCAACATACCTGCGCCGGTATATATTGAGTAAGCATATCTGTCGTTGCAATTGAACGCGACTCTAATCATGATAGATTCGAAGAATTTGCGCCTTCTCCTTTAAGTCATACAGTAGAGCCGGCTCAATTCAGCATCATGAGAGGCCGGGAAAGTTACTGACACTGCCAAGCATTGTTCCGAGCCACGTCGATGCGTATCAATGCTGTCCAGCGTGTCGCACCGTATTAGTTACCATAGTCGGCGTGGCATATAAAGCTTGGCGGCTACACCAACATATATTCGTGCATATCCGGTCATACAAAAGTGGGTGACAGGAGCAAGGCGTAGACGATCTTTTCATTCCAGTATGAGACCTGCATGCTTGTTTTATTCTCGTCACCCTTCCCGTCCCTCGTATTCGTCCTCGCCGTCCTCCCGGGAACGAATAAGCTATTGCACGTCAAGCACCGCACAGCATGCCAAGGCTTAGCTAGCCGGCAGGCCCCAGGATACAAGGAATATGAGACTGTCTTGGACAACCCATATGAGGTCATGGCGTATAGAGTTCAAGTCGATTTGACCACTAGAGATGATGGCCAAATCTTAAGCTATAGCTGTCCCTCTAAAAGTGGTTTTAGGTGCCTACGGTATTGCTACCCCTCCATTCCATTTCGCTGCCATCGAAGCCATTCATTGGGGTGAACTGGATATCCAGTCAATATAAATACCCACGTGCAAGGCCCCTTTCATAGCAACCCGCAGCTTCTCCTCTGTCTACCATCGACAACCAGATCATATCTCATAAGAAACCAACCACAAGAAAGATGAACCTCATCCAGAAGCTTGCATTAGTCGCGTGTCTAGCCCTCACGGGCGAGGCAAGACCCAACCCGTCTCCTTCCTCACTCTCCGGGCGCGAGGCAGCTATCATCGTCGAACCCACCATGTACCAGATATTCCCGATATCACCAACTCAATTCGCACCACCAGTGACTCAGTTAGAAGTATTGCGAGCCGGCGGCGTCTCCGTGCTAGAGAACATCGTCATCTTTGAAGGAATTCCATCCGACGCGCAAACCTGCATTCTTCGCTGGGAGCAGGCCGCCAAGCCCGAGCGGACAGAGTTTGTCGTGGCAAGAAACGGATTACTCGCTGCACAGCAGCTTTCAGGCCTTCCCGAGGGTGATATTACCTGGGCCAACATGCTGCCAATAGTAGAAGAAGCAATCGAGCAACGCAGACCGCTTCTTCATCCCGAGACAACGGGCTGGGTCGCGATTGAGACACAGCAAGTTCACATCGCGGGCTATGTAGATTGTGCCGAGACGATGATATTCAAGATCCAGGCAGATGATCGGGATACTGACGGTATTGTGTATCTGGAGCAGGATGCACACAATGGTCTTACACTGGAGATTCATTAAACTGGGCCATGCGGCGATTACCGCAGAAAACGGCCTCGTCTGTTAATTGAAAGTGTTACTTAACACCTCTTATGAGACATGATATCATAGTGTTATAATGAAGTCAGTCGTTCATGGTACATGGGACATTATATTTCGGCAGTGTAACACCATTAGAGGGCAGTATCAGATACAAGATAAACCCTATGCGCCAAGCGCTGTCTAGGGACAGCGGCTCTTAACGTCGACAAGTCTGCGATATATCTAGAAATATACTATTATAATGGGCATAGATACTATGCATAGCATGATAACCTAAGAATTAATTAATCTAAGGTAGTGAGCAACAAGTCTCCTCTTCAGAGAAACTTTTACATTCCCCTATTAGTTTGATGTAACATGAAGAGTTCCAACTTCGCGCGCTAGGCTAATTGCATCCAGACAAAACAGGATAGCCTGGGCTTGAAGCTCAGAAGCCAATCATGATAATTCATTTGCATGACCGCTCAATTAACGGCAAAGATTACTAATAGCATAATCTTCAAGGACGGAATTGCACATCATTTAGTCTAGTGTGATATCTACTGTCAAGTTAACGCGTATATGGCTGATTAAAGTGTCCTAGCTTCATAACAACCAGATTGTATAAAGACGAGTTACAGGCGACCCTTGTAGAGGTCTTTCGGCCATATAACTTGCCGAATTATTACTCCAAATACCGGCTTATTTACCGCGGCACTGTCAGTCAGCGCTGAGTGAGAACCAACCACCCCGGAAAAGCGATGCATAAGAATCTGGAGAAGTTAAGTAAGCGGCGTAGGTTAGGTCATCAACCTAATGTAGTATATATAACGTAGCTAGCTGTCGACATAGCCATTATGAGTGGTATGGGGTACACCGTACTATCATTAGACAGGATCAAAATGGCTGACCTTGTTAGTATCTCCCTCACGAAGTTCCTTTTCGTTAAAGCTCTCCTCCTGCTACTCGCATGCCATGTGAGCTCCAGCAGCTCACTGCAAGGAAACTTGATACTCAGCAATGGAAGTATTCATACTATGAGCGAAGCGGAGGAGGTGGTATCAGTTGTAGGAATCAAAGACGGTCTGATCGTCTACGTCGGAGACAGCCAAGCCGAGGCCCTCAGCAAGTTCCTCGGCGCCCCATCCATCGTGGACCTACAAGGCCGCACCGCAGTCCCCGGGCTAATTGACAGCCACAATCACATTGTTCTGCTAGGAAACAGGCCAGGATACCACACTCCATTAGAGAATGCATACTCCATCGCCGATGTGCAAAGCACATATCAGTCGCGCGGCAAGGGTGTCCCTCAAGGGAATTTTATTACCACCATCGGTGGCTTTCACCCAAACCACTTCGCAGAGCGCCGGCTCCCAACGCTCGCCGAGCTTGACGCCGCCGCACCCAATCATCCGGTTTTCATCTCCTACAGCTTCGCAGGCCCAGCGACAACAAACAGTCTCGGAAAAGCATTTTTCGAATCCCTTGCTTCGCCACCCGTAATCAGTGCAAACGGATCCATTACTTCTGGGGAGAACAATGGAAAGGCCCTCTTAGCACTCAGGAAACAGCTCACGTTCGCGGATCGCAAGCGCGGGGTCCATGATGCGATGATGTATGCGGTATCAATGGGTGTGACAACGCACCTTGACCAGGGCGCGTTTCCGAAGACGGATACCCCGTCTGACGGCGCTGCGAACGAGGACTTGTATTCCATGCATCTGCCCTGGTTATCTGTGTACGACGACGAGGAAGGGATTATTCGCCTCCGGATCAATTTTCTGCACATGGACGATAGTACCGACGTGTCTACTGTGCAGCAACGACTCTTGAATACCTTTAAATTCTTCGGTAGTGATATGGTGCGCACGGGGGGTATCGGCGAGTTCATCACTACGGATTATGCTGGCGGACAGTTCTTCACCGAGGGAGCGAGGCGCGTAGCTGAGGCGGGCTGGCGTCTTGAAGTGCATTCGCTGACTGGCACTGACTTCCAGTCGCAAATCCAGACCTTTGAGGCAATCAATGCGAACAATAGCATTGAGGATTTGAGATGGGTGGTTGCTCATGTACCTCTGATCACCCCCGAGTATCTGCAAAGGCTCAAGAAGATTGGCGGCGGGGTTAATCTCTCGGGATGGCAGTACTTGGCGGGTAATGGCCGTGCAGCTGGACCACCATTTAGAGATATCCTGGAAAGTGGGATCCCGGCTGGGATTGGGGCCGATGGGATGCAGATTGCGCCGCTTAATCCGTGGGTTCACGCGTATTATGCGACGACGGGAAAGAATGCGCTCGGCCAGGTGATCAATGCCGGTCAGCTGCTAAGTCGGCAGGAGCTGCTGCGCTTGTACACGCGCGCGAATCAGTGGTTTCTTGGGGGCCGGGATGAAGGGCTCCTTGGGTCGATTGAGGTTGGTCGGCTTGGAGATGTAGTTGTGCTGAACGAGGATTATTTCAGTGTTTCTGATGAGATGTTGAAGAAGTTGAAGTCCGTTCTCACAGTTGTTGGGGGTACTGTCGTTTATGATGAGAGTAGTTTGGCGAGCCAGGGGGTGACAAGACGCTGATTCAAGACCCCCTGACACTGCTTTACTGAGAAGTTCGGGTTGAATTGAAAATCTTCATGATCAAACTATTAGATTAGTGCTCCTCGCACCTAAGGTCCTGTGTCTTCCACCGGAGCTGTGAATTCAGATTACCAAAAACAAACATCATGGTGTATCTGCTGTAGGCATTCCTAGTATATGCAAGAGCAATGCTCCTATGGCGTGTCTCTCAACGATGGCAGCGTACTAAGTGCTGGCGATCCCACCCCAGCGTTTTCAATTCTCGGCTTCGCGTAGACCAATGGAGCATGCCGGAGGTCCTTTCCTACCCTCCAGGCTGTAATTAGGGTTGAAAGATCCATATCTAGCATCATGGCATGCACAGATGCGTCACTTCCGCCGCAATGCTTCAGCCACTTGCTAGTATGTCTTACCACTGCCTCGCAATGCGCGAGATCATAGTGGTCCTCAAGGATAAAGAGGCCTTGCAACAATGACCCAAACGCATATGCCCTTTGGAAATGAATACTGCTGGCTGTGGGAGAGGTCTGAGCTGCAACGCGATGGGTTATCCTCTCTAGTAAATCAGTTAGTCTTTGCCGAGCTTGGATCTCATCACCAACACAGTAAAAAAGAAAGATGATGAAGGTGTGTAAAAAGCTGATCGTAGCATCGGACTCGCGCCCAGTAGCAGTCTCTACTTCGTTTAGAGCCGCTAGATACCGCGATACAAGGTTTCTAGCGGGTTCGACAGGGAGGTTAAAGTACCGAAAGTAATCGAGCCAAGTAATTAGAACAACAGGGTGACTCAGACCGAGCTTCATTTCTAGGGTTTCGGCGGTCGCTAGGTACGCTGTACGGAAGGTCTGGGTCATTACACTGGGGTTGTCCCGACTCATGCGTACCAGTGCCATAATCAATCGTACTCGGAAATGCGATGAGGCTGATGCAGACTTCTGAAAGGAAGCCAAGGCATTTCGGGCTAGGAAGCAGAGGAGCTCGCGTAGCAGATGAAAGTTAGAGTCTTGAACGAGGGTGCACGCGTTGTAAATGCCGTCGCACAACACCCAGAAGGCGGTGTGATGCTTTGGATGGAGATATACGTCATTCCCGATCATGGCGTCGAACAGTTTGTTTAGACTGCGGAATGCGCCATTAATCCTGCCCCTTCCCAATTGGAGAGCTATGTCTGAGAACGCAGCCTCTGCCAAAGCGTAGCGAGTCATAGAAGCGTAGTCTTTCGACGAAGGGCCTGGGTTTGTCTTGGTGAAGGATGAGCACCAGCTTTGGAGCTTGGATACGTCTATTACGTGGTTCCGCGAAATTGAGATAGGGTCCTCTTGATCTCTAAGAATATCCGGTGCGCTGAGGTGCTGGATAGTATACTGAGGCATTGCTCTTGCCCCTTTTCGGCTTTGAACAGAGGGCGCATATGCATCTGGCTTGTTCCGAGGTCGATTCTTCCGCCAACCCCAGCGGATGAATCGCGTCTTATACATCTTGTTACTATAAAGCCAGTCAACAACGATCGCGAGGTTTGCTACCCAGTTTTTTTCATGACGGAAATAGACAGAGTATGGTATGACCTAGCAACAAGGGAAAAGGCCTTACGTAGCGTAAAAATCATGCCTTTTTGCCATGATCCCCACCACAATGTCGAGGGAGTAGCTTTGATCCATGTATAGTTCTTGGATAATTGGCTTCATTTCTTCCCATTTTTCTCGTGAATGCTGCTGCGCATGTGTGACCCGCTGTGTCACTAGATGGGCTGGGATTCCAGGTGGTTTCACGTTTATACCTAGCTTCTCGTTAATCCAAAGACGAATCAGCGTAATACTGATTTGATGGGCCAATTCTTACTTAAGACGTCTTGGGACATTGAGCTCGTATGCCTGCGATCATCCATGGTTTGGTTGTCCTGTGGAGACTCTGGTGGGAGCATACCTGCGGCTTGCATGGCGTTGCCACGAGCGACAGCAAGATAGGACAATGACGTTGATATCGTTATTCAAGGTATTAAACACGGGGTTGCAAGTGTACATTTGATGTCAGTCTGATCATTTATATGATATAACTCTTCGCTGATTGTAACACGCACGACGTGTCATCTGCTACTCGAGAGGAGTCTCTGGCTGACATACTTGACGCGCTGCTGACCAGCTGGAACCCTTGCCCCGACGGCTGACAAGGTGACTCGACAGGCGTAGAACTCTGGTTCACCCCCTGCCTACTCTCCCCGGTTCAATACCTCACATCAAGTAACCGTGCGATGTATGGAAGTTGCTGATTCCAGAGTGGTATGTTTTGTAGGTACGGTAGGTCGTCTGTGGCGGGCAGCGATGCTACAGTACTGCTGGCTGCTGGAGAGGCTGATTTCGCCCATTACCTACGGTCACTGGCTGCTGATAAGGGTCGATCTTATCGTGACACCAGTCTAACCACACTTCTCGGGTATCTGCCAAGAACCCGTCGACATCTATGACCCGTGTACTGTGTTACAAACATAGAAATTGAGAATGTGCTATGTAAGGGAACAGTTGTAGAAGACATATGTAAGATCGTATTGGAGTGGTGTATGGTGGTCTAGGGTGGTCCTAGGCTTGGCAGTGTTCTGCGACAGGACAGTGACACATCATAGCCTTGAACGGCACATTCTACTTGCACAATCATCCACTCAACGGTAGTCAGTGTCGGGGTCTCGAGTGCATGGCAGAACATAGAGGAAACCCGCCGAAGGCCGCTGTTAGAGATTACAAAAGTGAAATCAATTTTTTCAATACCGCTATTGTAAGCTGTGAACTGTAGTTGTCGCATCTCCTAAGTGGAATACAATTCCCGCTAGTACCACTCATCGTCCTTCATACCTACCCAGTGTCTGCCGTAACCCCGCTGATTGTGATTATACCATACTACCCTTATAGCAATGGGGCGTAACGAGAACCTAAAAGGGTTGTGCTTGAGACTCGGGCTGGGAACATTTCCCTTGTAGGTATCGAATCACTTGCAGGTCTCCCTCGTTCGTTGGCGAGTTAACCTAGATCCATGGCGAGTACCTTAACCCTCACCACCAACGCGCCTAAAGCCCAGCATACAAAGAGGGACTTGGGGTCGAGCGTGTAGTTCCAATCTTCGGACCAGTAGGTGTTGGCGACTGAGATATACAGAGCCCAGAGGGTGAACCAGAGCAGACTTCGTGGATGAAAGAAGTAAAAAAGGAATTTATCTTTAGTACTGAGTCCGGCCGGTTCTTGCGGCGTGCCGAAGGGTAGGTTGAGTCTGGCAGATACTTGCCGTTCGCCAAGTTCCACAGTTGCCCTCATTGGGAGTAGGATCAGAAGGATTTCGATGAAAGGGAGCATTGTGCTTGCAATCAACTTCACTAGTTAGCCAACCCCGCAGCCTTCAGATGTAGAACACTTACTATATTGCTATTTACTCTTGGGAATTTGAATGTTGACTAGACGTATTGTACATTTCCTTCTAGGTTATTTAGATGTTGATTTTATGTACTTCGATAATGGACTTCTACGACACGACGAAGAACGGCGTTGTCGAGCTTGATATTCGATGAAACGAAATTTATTCAGGGTATGGAATAGTATTATTACATGGGAAAGCGCATATGTGGTAAGTGACTATACATAGATCTGTCTAAAATAACTATGGGAAGGGCTTCCAACCTGCAGTCTATGCCTTCCCTTGTTGTACAGGGTAATTAAAGGAAGAGCTTGGAGGGTATGATAATGCAATAATAGGCGGCATGATATACTTGATGGTTACGAGTATGGTTATAACATCCGAGGGAAATTACTTGTCATATTCAAGGTTGAACTGGTTTCGCCTCTTCATCACAACGAATTGTAGCGCATTAAGACCATCTGTGTAATAATTTTCTCCGGGCGAGCCAGGACATGTTGTAGAGATCGTGGCCGACGATCTTGAAGATCCCCCGTGTCTTCTGCTTCGTCTAGACCACGCCTGAGGCCGAGCCAACTTCGGAGTCATTGTGAAAGTTTCGGCGGATGGTTTTCAGCAGAGCTGTATTTCTGATATTAACGTTGCCGACTGACAATTTGCTCGGCGTGAGTTTGTCCGCTTCTGCCAATGACTTCAAACAACTCCCGTTTCCCGGCGTGTTATACTCAGCGCACTCTATGTGCGCTGCAGGCATTGTCAGGGTGGCTGCAGGCGATGAGCATATGAGGCTCTTGGATGTTGTATTGTAAAGAAGTCTAATTCCCAAGGGTCTTATTGGCTCGTTATCCCATTGATACCATCTGGGACTTTTGAAAAGGTCGTGTTTAATGAGGCCGCCTGGGGCGGTTTCCACTTCACTTCTAACCTCCTCTTCACGATTTGAAGAATGTGGATGTGTCCTTCCGCGTAAGCGGATGGAAAAGTCAATTGTGCTTTCTTCGATGCACAATAAGATCAGCAAGCAGTACTTTGGATACCAAAAACAGCCCGCGCTAGTCATGATGCGATAAGCACTCAAGCACTCAGGCATATTCCCCGACGCTAAGTATGCACTTCCACTCAACTGCATCTTTGACTGCATCCTTGCCTTGCCGACCTGTGCATGATTGGGAAGAGTAAGGTAAGATGATATTCTGCCCGCTAGGTCTCGCCCTTTTCTTGATCTAATCCTTTTCCTCGGAAGCTCTTGAAAGCTATGTCTCACAAGCCCATATTCTTCTGCATCCTCCTTGTCGTGTCCGCCATCATCATTGTGGTCTGGCGGGGTGACAAGATACGCGATCAATGAGCTGCAGAATCAAGTTTGTGGAAAGGCTGGGTCACGTAACTCTCTTCCTCCTCCCCGCGGCGTCTTTCCAAAGGAGGAGGTAGCCTATATCGGTGACACTATTGCGCGGAACTCAAATAGTCCAGTTGCCAAATAGTCTCAGGAAATGGAGACATATTCATCCCAGCTATCGCAAATTCCGAAATACAGTGACCTCTGAGATCAGTCTAGCTATGGGCAAGGCTGTTGAGCAGTTTCGGCGTCTTGAATTGGAATAGGTGGAAGCTGATGAACTTGATACATGTATGATGGATCTCGTTCTTCGGCGCCAGGTCGTTGAAGCGAGGAAGAATGATAGTGTGTGATCCAGAGCCATTTTGCTGTTATTGCCCAGCTTTTACTTTTAACTAACCTCTTCGTCTATAGAGCCCCTATCTGACCTAACAAAAGATCACAGTATGCTGGACGAGATGTTTGTCATGCATTACTGAAATCCTAAATGCCGTGACTCCGATAAAATCAATAGCTACGAGAGGCCTGATAATTGATGATCTCTCAGGCTTGTGAGCTTTCAGAAGCGACGGCACCACCAACTGGCTCCCCTAGGGCCGCAAGGAGACTGGCATCGTCCTCGGCGTCACTGTCATCTTCCCCGTCATCATCGTCGCGATCCTGTAAATCAACAACCACTGTTTCGGAAATTAGCGACACATGTCCTCAATCCTTAATTAACCTGTGCACCGCACGCTTGCAACAGAACTTACTAATAGCGCCACCCTGTAGCTTATCCATCTGAAAGCCAGCGTGCAGAGAGCTTCCGACATCAAAAATACACCGACCATAATCTAAGCCTAGGTCACCGTTGTCCTTGAGGCGCAAGCACACCTGGCGGAAATGCTCGTGGTGACGGTCCAGGTCCTCGTCGAAGATGAGCACGACGTTTTGGTATTGGTGGCAGAATGTAGCACAGTCTGATCCTAGCGCCGCGGCTAATTTTGTCGGGTCTTGAACTGTTGTTACCAGTCGGGTGAAGATGCTGGCGCGGAGAAGCCCTGCGCTGTTCGGCCCAGCATAGATTGAGACATTCGGTGGCAGGCTCACTTCACGCTCCGTCGTCGGCCCATCGGTAAGCTGTTCCGGATCAGAAGCCTTAGACAAGCTATGCTTTTGTGTGGTCATTGTATTATTAATTGTGTAATTTGGACCTGGCAGATTGCGGCCAAAATGTAGTGTGAGGAGGATAACCAAAAAAATTGACGCCTACAGAAGTACCTATTGTTGCTTCAGTGTGGGGTCCTTGAAGCCCACATGGCAAGCCATGATAGCTTATCTAGCGGTCGAGTGCAACGCCTCCAAGTATTGCTATTTCGTTGGAGATGTCTCAACTAATAACCACAGTGCGTTCTTCCCTCTTTATGAGGAAATAGGGTAGAATGGTTACCAGATCCATATAATCTAATAGCTCACCAGCAGCGTCCGTGAAGGCCACACAAACGTTGGCGTCGCCTCGTAAAGAAAACTTTGTCACGCTAACCCTCTCATAAAGACCCCCATGATCTTCTAGAATTAGCAAGTTGATGCCGAAGAAAATCTAGGCGGGACCAACGTCACTTATGTATTCGGGATCCAACTTAATACCGATTTTCCCTGAGCAGCCAAGGGTGTCACGGTCATAATAAACGTACGTGAGCATATAAAAGTTTGATGCAAGTCTCAGTGATGCATGGTAACCAGCAGGAATGAGATCGAAATACTCTGACTTTAAAACCCCCAATGTAAGGTAACGAACGCAGGTACGATGGTTCTTCTGCTGGGTCGTCCAATCGTTGTATACCAACGACAAATAAATGACTTTAGTTTTGAAGTGCAGATACCGTAGACGGCTATCGTTCTCTTCGCGCAATGACCTCTGGTCTCCCAACACACGCTCAATATCTTGGGGTTCCAAAAGGGTTCTTGGTAGTGCCCAAGATAGAGGCTCTTAGACACAATACGTGTAGCTTCCGCGGAAACTGCTCTGTACCAGGCTAGGAACGACCAGCTGGGGAAATTGATATTATTTATTGTCGTCGAGGCTTCTTGCCGCCATCCCAGCTCGAATATATAACTAGGTAGTTGGATCGAAACGGGATATCTGAGTCACCAAATGGAGAATACGGGCTTTTCCACACCTCCAAAGTAATTCAATATGTCTCTACAGGCATCCAATGCATCCGATGAGTATGTAAAGTTTCGGTCACTATACTCTGGTATCCAATCTGAAGCCGGCCTCAAGTTTTACTTCGAGATCAAAGGTCTTTGTGTTATCATTCTCAGCCATTGGAATTATCCCCTTGAGTGGAAGTAGCGACTTCGAAGTGATTTGGTCCAGAGGATGTTGTTTCTATTCCATGCAACGCATCCGATGGCCCAAATATGAGACTCCGTAGTCCGTAAAAATAATACGGCCGGGTGCAAAAAAGCCCTACTGGACTGTCCAGCCGCGAGTAAACCACAGTGAGGCTTTCACCATATGCGAGATATCGGGGAAGCTTTGGACGAAGCAAGCGTGTTTGAATGTCTCCTGCAGCTGCTAGTAGCGGGGGGCAGTACTGATACCAGGAAGGCCATATTTTCCGGGATTCACTAGCGGCATTGATAAGAGTAATGGCCGCATTACAATATATGAGGTTCATTTGCGAAATCTGTTCATGTTTATCGGCAGCATTGTCCTGGCCGATGCACTAAGGCGGTATTTATATGAAGAACAGTCCGGGCATGGGGATATGTGAAAAGGGATAAAAGAAACATGCATATTGATCAACCCATAAGAGAAATAGATGGCGTTGTACTACTACACGGACTGCGGCCTTCTTTGCAATAATGCCAGCACCGCTTCAAAAAGTTGATGTCAACCGCATTAGCCTGAATGTGTCGAACTCCAAAATCGAACTCCTCATGAGTTAGTCCTATAAAGGGACTCTCTTTTTGTGCATCTATGCCTAGAAGGATGCTGTCGCGCAGATCAGAATGATCGAACTCCATATCGGAAAACATTACCTTAGCCGAGTAGGTTTGAAGTGAGCAGGCTATTTCGTCAAGTGAAATGGGCTTGATTGTTGTAAGCACCCGACATATACGACATTTTGAATACAATAGCTCGTCGTGGTTCTCTATTCATACCATGACGGGTGCCTCTTGAGGCTATCCTATTGTTATCTCTTCCAAGGGGACATCAAGACAGCGGTTGCAGATATCCAGTGCCAAACCATACCATGACGGGCTATGCTAGACTACCAATATTGTCGTACGCCGTTTTGTCGCCGCTCTGATGTGTCGCAGTATCGCCAAATGCTCGATCTCCATCTTCCTTTTGTCTCATAGTTCTAAGCGCCTGAGCGCCTGAAATGGGTCGCGCTGAAAAAGGGCACAGTGTCCATCACCCACTAAAGATGAGGGTGCGCTGAGGACTATTTCTCCGCCGGTGTAGTAGTCGTCTTGATTTTCCGTAGCACTCGAAATCTTAAGTGGTAAGTCGGCGGCTACGGTAATCGATCACGACCAGCGGTCGATCACATTTGTATCTTCTGGGCTCGTGGGGATGCTTGGACCGGCAATGGGATAGCGGCCCGTGATATCAGAGGTGTTGGCGAGAAATACGTCAAACTCAGCTTTGGCTTCATGCCATGGTCCCTCGTTGCCTCTGGCCTGGAGGAACTGAAGTGTGACCTCAGATCCTCGCACGTAGCCACCAGTATATTGCTGATATCAGCCGTGACTGCTGAATTGCGAACAAGCGTCCGTGTCCTTGGCATAGCCTTCTTCATTTTTTATGCAATACCTTGAATGTATTGCCGGTATTGCTTCTTGTGACGATGGAGGGAGGCAAGTATGCTTTCAAGGCAACCGTAACAACAATAACTTCTACCTCTCTGATTTCCTCTGGGCCATAATAATAGTACCGAATAATATACCTCATGGCCATATACCTAAGTTTTACCATCTTTTCAGAGAATTACGATATTCCACACGCATAAAATCTATAACTGGTGTTACAAACGCCCTTCACCCAACATAGCTTTATTCAACGACTGTCCTGCAACATGTCACGTCACCTTGGAGGCCTTACTAATCTGACCAGCATGTTGTCGTGTCGTGTTAGAAATTGCAGCTACTTCTGCTATCGGGTCCATGATCTGGCCTGAAATCTGATATGAACCAGTCCTCACGAGTTTGACGACATAATTGTTGCCCATTGTGGTGAGGCTGATGAATCAGTAGGAAATTTTCGTTCCCGAGACACATGACAATCCCAAATAATATTGTTGCGGGATCACGCGGAGAGCAAACAGTTACTCGACCCGCCGACAGAGACACGCGGCTAGGTACCCACGACCCTCGCCATCTACCCGTAAGCAAACTGTACTACCTATGCGACGTCCAATATGGTATCATTTACGGGTACTCTATCATCCATTACGCGGCAGCATTCACATGCATGTTTCATGCCTATGTGAGCGAATGTTGGTGTATCACACCCAGGTATAGGAGATTACCAGGCAAGCTACTGTCTAAGGGATAGCTCTTGTCTCCCTTCCTCAGCCTCGCTCAATTGATCTAGCAGCTCGATTTCCCACACCTCGCTGTTTGGCACGCTCGTCAATCTCTACCGAATCGAGGCTAGAAGAGACAAGCTGAGCTGGATGGACATGATTATACGCTTTTCTAATAGCACATTATTTTTATTTGATTGTGAAGAGCAAGGATCAGAAACTTTGCTGAGTCTTACACTTTGAATCTTGAGTTTCCGAATTCACGCTCTTTTTTCCCGAGGCGGTGAGAGAGCTAAATGTACTACCGTAGCCTTTAGCCCGGCTTCTACGTGACTGAGGTCTATGCGGCCGCCACTGAGGAAAGGACCTCCCAATGTTTTCCGTACATAATTGTTGTGCTGATGAGATGAATGTACCTATCAATACAAGTCTTCAGCGTGAAGCACATGGCTCTATGCAGCTCGATATTAGTGAAGGTGCATTGGACGCTGTCTTGGGACCACTGTCATGGGGCTACGATCCGATTTACCAAAATATAGAGCCAAGATCCCATTAGTATTACAATAACACCAGGAAGATTATAGCTAGTCAATACTTGAGTTCTAGCAGGTATATTTAGCAGCAATCAAGAGTTGCCCCTTGTCTCCCTCTCTGTCTTGTTGTGTGGGGGTGGGTAGCTAAAACAGTATGTAATGGAAATGAAGATACGTGAGGAAACTGACTTTAGCCTCCAATGAGATTGGCTTCCCGTTGCAGTGGAGCAGATATTAAACAGGCCAAGAGAGGGGAAGCATTATAGTTATTACGTTATGAATATAGTGATTACAAGATTGTTGAGGAACGAATTGTACCGGTGGGAGGAAAAGGGATAGAAAAGTCCCCTGGAACAAGCCTCAACGATGCTGAAGCAAGGGTACAGCGATTGACTTTTCTATCTTTGGCTAGAAAGAACCCAGGAAATAAATAATCCTGGCCCTCCCATGCCTTTGCCAGGGCAAACAAACAGTGGTCATGCCGGTAGCGTTAGCTTAACCGCATGTAGTGGCAGTGGGTAATTCTCTTATGAGATCTATTTGGGTCACTAGGGTCTAATTGCTTCTTTCCTTGCTGATCTACTTTGGAAACGCGAATTCCAGTGAATCAGACACTCAGAATTCCAAAAACCAATATCTGTGTTGTTATTATGGTCATTGAGGCGTTCAATAGGATAGACTAATAGAACCTGCTGGGACTTTGATTCTAAGAATAATTCTTCCTATCTTCCCCATGAGTTATATAGATTTTCAATTAGCACAGCTCAGCAAGGGGAAATTTCCTTGGCGAATCTCCTCGGGACCGGTAGCCGGCACCGGTAATAACCTCGCAGCGCTTAAGTCCACACATATAGAATGTTGTGTCACGATTTTAAGGCTGCAATAAAGAAACTCCTTGTTCATGGCCTAAGTCTCGGCTTGAAGTCTTCAAGCCACCATGCACATCTTCTATCTAGATGAGTCCTGTATCTCCGTTATTCTTCAGTGAATGATCAAGCTTAGAAAGTCAGTGACATGACCGAGCTCCAATGATCACACAAACCGAATATAAATTATATGAGCAGTGTTATGATAATTCTAAGGAAGTTAACACGCGCAGATCAGGAGATGCTTCGGTACCGAAACGTATCGCGTCTAGTGATAATCCCGAAGCCCCGCCAGACAAACAGGCTGAATTTTCTCTCAACTGTTATTGTATGTGAGGCTGACCCTCACTTAACATCATATTGAGTATCAAGTGTCAAGTACTCCCTCCAGTCAGGGATCACTGATGGCGTATTCGAGTCTCTAAGCAAACTTCACTTGACACTTTTGGTGGGCGCACGGGTTTCATAGCTGATCATTGCTGGATTAGCTATAACTGACAATGACTATCGGGTACTACTATGCCCAGCAGGATATTTTGGTTGACGGGATTGAAGCTTGTGGTAGCGATATACAAGTATAGCATTCTCCTTGCATTCTTGATGCCTCAAATAAGCCGCATAGTTCCCGTCTTCTGCCTTCTTTCGTTTCAAATAGTTTAGTGCATCCCTTCGCAGCCGGGATGCCACCCCTGTCTCCATTGCGCAACACTAGCCCATAGCAAGAGCCCAAATGGCTAGAAGCAGCGTGAGTGTCATCACCCAGGTACTAACTAACAAGATTTGAACGTATGATATTGCATTTGCCGTATGGATATATTTGCTGCTCTATTCCCATAGCGAATCCCACTTCGGCGCTAATATCTCGCACAGGGAAGTATGAGACTGAGGGTTTGCTTAACTTCACTGTTGCTTGCCTTAGCCTAACGGGTATATCCGCAAGAACAAAACAGGGTGTAACGGGTGTTCCCCTGTCTGTAAAGTATTGTCCGGTAGTGATTAGGATCCCCTGCTCGTGAGACGAGAAGCAAGGTACGTCTAGGTAAGGGTCAGTTGATGAAGCCTTGTGCAACCGTCCACCAGACGCCACCGACAACTGGGAGAGCAACCACAACATCAACAATCATACTAGCTATCCTCCAAATAAATTGAGCAGCCAACTGATTGCTCTAGTTCTTGATATAAAGTGCGTCGGCTTCCTAAGTATAATCTTGAACCTATCGCTCTCACTCTCTCCAGCTACTTTCAAATTTCCTGAGAATTGGTCTAAACCTATCACTTTACTCTGCAACAACATCATACAGCAAATTTCAGATGACGATCTCCCACATCCAAGAATCCGACATGGACACTGTCACCGTCCAACCGGGATCACAAACGAAATACTATTTCATACCTATTTATGGCGTGAGTCGCGGCGTATGGCTTTGGGGTTACATGGCTAACTAGAATAACTATCAGTTGCAGCTAGGCACCAACTTCAGGGATGTATGGTGCCATTTGAAGAGGGTGGTCAAAAGACTGGAGCATATTGAGATTCGTCCAAATTCGACCGCAGGGTGGATTCTTGTCCATAAGTATAACAACTTCGAAAAAGTGATTCGTATGATCAGTGTTATTCCTTCGTATTGAACATATACTGACATTTCTTTCAGACACCCTAAGAGAACCAGTCCTTGTGGAAGCGACCAAGCGAGCCAGCCTGATTGTACCCTCTCTTATGAACGTTCACTTCAAAACATCCATCCAAAGGCCGGCTAACTGTAGCGATCATGTCTCAAGAATTATAAACGATGCATCACGGTTTCCTGATCGAGCTTCCAGTGGTAGTTCAGTTCCCGTGAAGCCAAAGTCTCCACCTATCTACACGGAGGCGACTGATAGGCGATACGAAATAGTAATCGCACACGGAACCTACAAGCCTCCTCCCAAACCGGAAGACTCGGGGCCCAAATGCAAGGCTAGGTCGAAGCCCAGGCCAGCGAAATCTGGTCGTTTCAAGGGCAGAAAGATGCGACGACGGTGGAGCATTCGCTCTAGCACTTCTAGGGGAAGCTACGAAAGCTGGCCCTTCGTGCCAGCTACGCCACCTCCATGCGGCTATGAGCCTCCCTATTACGAGGCCGTGTACCCATATACGACGGCATACATCCCCCTCTACATCCCGAACCAAGCTCCCCAGTGGTACGGCGAGGCACAGGAAAACTACGCCATCTGGGGCTCCAAGTATCCAGTTCAGCCACAGAGATCATGGGGAGGCTGGAATACAGAGCAGAACGCAGTTTACGGACAGATGACCTGGTATTGAAAGTGAGCACTCCGGAAGGGCTTCCATGAGCTGGGGGTGAGAAACGTTGCGGTTTTGTTGGCGTTCAACTGGGAGAGGCGTTTAATCTGTAATCATAATTTGTTTTCTTCTGCAAATGCGTTGAGTTATAGTATTACCGTGGTCTACCCTCTCAGCCTCGAGCTGGAGGGAGACAGGAAAGAAAATCATAAAGAATAAAACGGGTTAGGGAAAAAATAAAAAAGGGGAAAAGGGGAAAGAAAGAAGTAACATTCCATAGCAACAAATAGCCGTCAGAAGAATTGCTATATGAATCGCCAACCTATGCATCTTTTCGACCGTGCTGATGCCTGAGGCATTAATTAATGTATTAAAGTGAATGAAACATGCCCTATGGCAACATTCCGAACCTCACAATCTCAGCAATCTACTATAGAATTGAGATAGAAAAAAGCTCAAAGATTTGAACTCACATACAAAGCATGCGATCTAAAACTTTGTATGTTTTATGATGTTGAAATTGATCTGCTACTACCTACCCAGGCACATACGGTACTTGATAGGTAGGTACCTAATGTACAGTATATGGTAGAAGGGTTGGGCGTCAACGGGTCCACTCACAGCGCTTGCTGGCGGTTTGTTCAGTTGGGTCAAACCACCAAAGCTCGCACGAGCATATGCCACGTCTTCTAACAGGTCCACCAGATTCTCACCGCCTGCCCGGCTCGGTCCCATTGCCTGCCTGGCAATGCCTAGCGAGAGTACGAGCATGTAAGTACTTAGGTATATAAATGTGCATATGTACCTCCATAGGTAGGTATGTGCCTAATGTACTAGGTATGTAGGTAGGTACCTAACCCAGCAAGTACCAGAGTGCCGGGTGCTGGCATGTTGAATACCTGCTGAAGCGCCTGTTGTAGGTGTCTATCGAGGTACCTCGCAGGCTCGCCTAGCCGCCGTGGGTACTTGGCTGGATACCTGAGGCCGTGGTGATTCGCTAGCGCGTCTCTTCCCCACGTGCCCCTCTCATTTTAACCACTACCCAAGCCAAGTCGCAAGTGCCTGTCCGGCGTCATCACACACCCTCGACTTGACCCGAACCTCGACCCCTCCGTGCCGTTTTCTTTCACGATACTATCTTGATGTTCACCCTCATGCTCCTCCGAGACTGCACTGACTCTGAAGTGACTAAGTAGCATCGTGAATCTCTTGCCATCCTGATTATTGCTCACATCGACGAAATAGCCAGTGTCCATTGCATATTCTGATCTTCTCTTTCTGTCTTCCCCCCTTTCATGATATTCCACACATATTAAGGCCCTCACATCTTCCCGCCACCCCGTTCACAGGCTTCCAAGTTTACCTAAACTTCAAAGTATATTGGCCTGCCCTCGAGACTTACCCCCACAACGCTCCCCGGACTGTCCTTTCGTGGGCCTTAGTGTTATTGCCCAACGAGAACCGGTGTGTCCGTGCAGCAACTTAGGCTTGGTCTTCTGCCTCCTGCCTCCTGCCTCTTGCCTTGTACCTAGGATTCGTTGGACTTGCCTACCCCGTCAACGTCGAGTCACCGAGGGGCTGCAATACCTTATTCCCTACTTCCTTCCTCGCATTTCCCTCGTCGCCCCTTGACCAGGTGATTTGAATGTCTCTTCTGCCTATTCTCGCTGCTGTAATCTCACTGCTCAAGTACATAGCATAATCAATATAAGAGATAGTATTATCAGAGCTTCTCACTCTTGCTACCGCGACTCTCATCTACGTTTCTCCTTGTCTACCCCCATCCACCCGCACTTCCACCGGTGCAGACATACACCTATCGCAGGTTACTGAAGACACTTTGAGAATATCATCACCTCGGGATACTCAGGCTTGACTCAGTGAGTGGGCGATTGTGTCCTTCCCGTTATCCTCCGAGCTGTCACTGATCCCCGAAATACCTTTAGGCATGGCATTCACACAGCCCGATATCCAAGCTGGCGACGAGCTCGCCTCGCTTTTCTCTCGCAACATGACATTCCAACAACCCCAGCCAGTACAAGAAGCTCCTCAAGAACAACATCCGCCGGAGCCGGAGCCAATCAAGTACTCCATCTCACAACATTACCATCACTCAACCCATATAGTTCAACAAGAAGAACCCATCTCAGAACCATTACGGCCGTCTTCAGTGCCTCCGCAAATACTGCCCACTGCGGAACAAATCTTAAGTCGCCGTGGAATCGACCCGTCCTGGTTATCCCCGCAACAACTCGAACTGTTCAAGACAGCCGATACCCCTCAGCAGCTGCGTCTGATCCAGCTTTGGCAGATATGTCCCCCTTCGAATATGACAACCAACCCAACTGTCGCCTGGATAAATACAACAAATACATCTGTCGAACAAGAAGAGATGATCGCACGGCTGCACTATGAGCAGAAGCAAGCAGATGAAGCTGCTCGAAGAGACTCACTAATGAGCTGTAAGCATCTGATCTTTTGATATCCCGTCCGAACCCTATTTCTCTTGTGCCGGTGCATGTACCCGGACTCTAGAAATGACATGCGTCTTGACTGGTAGACCAATACGCAACTAACACGCCGATTCCACAGTGGACGGCACACCGCTAACACCAGTTCAAACGACTGACGGGCACTGGGTGGGCACGGCCTATGTCGAACCATACATGATGTCGGGATACGAGATGATGGCCCGGCGCGAGTATGAGGAATCAGTCAAGCGACAGCTCCAAGAAGACATGTCAGGGCCGAAGGAGGTCTACAATTCCTTTGGCGCCGCTGTCGGTGACGGCCACTATCGTCTAGCTACGGACCCCGTCTACGCCAACAATTGGGCCCACCAGCAGCAGGCCATGGAGAACCAATACGGTGCGTTCCAGCAGATGGGAGATATGGAGTTTTGAGAAGTGACGCTGTATATTGCTTGCTCTTACTCATGTCATAACCACCCCTACGGTATAGCAATTGGTCGCGGGGTGAGTGAAATCACCAGTGGCATGTTGTTTAGATTCTATTAGGGCGGACTAGCGAAGGTTAGTTAGATAATTAGCCTCTACTTAGTTCAGACTCTGGTGTACTGTACGTGGCAGACGGGAGAGGAGTTAAGTACTTACTTACTACCACTGGTTGAGAATTATGTTCGCATCATCGTTCGGCGAAGGAGGATCGGGAATAGGATGGTTGGCTCTGCGTATGCTACGGACTACCTACTGTACTTGAATTTGACATTCTAGGATGGCGTTGAGGGATATTTAGTTGTGGCATCTTTTCTTTATGCTTACCTAGTTGTTGCTCTCTTGCTCTACTTATTGTTTTACTATCATACTCACACATTTCCCTTTTAACTTTCATCCCCTTCCTAGCTTACCCGGCTACCTAACTATCTGGCTACTGTTATAGGTTGACCGCCCAGTGGATTGAGTATGAGTAAGTTACTTCGGCACTGGGATGGCTCTAGGTCTTCGCTGAATTGATGAGGTATGTATGTTGAAAATGTAGATTCTTGTACACTCTCTCCTCTGTCACCTAGTCCATAAGTTCGATGTATACCTCAATCATTATCTTATTATTCTATCCCGTACTACTCACCCCAACTCCGGCTGCTGCTATATTTAGTCTTGCTATCGCGGTTCCTTCTGACACTAACTTGTCCAAGTCGAAATAGACTTGCGACACACTGTCACTCGGAAGAATGAATTCGTGAGGAACGATGTTTGGAAGCTAAGATTTGAATGCGATAAGACAGAATTTGCTCTTGAAACTAATATATGTATATATATATGGAAATATTGATAATAAGCCATGTAATGAGTCATACCCGTATAGCGAGACCACCCCTTATGGTGCGTCGCATGTATGTGATATTTCGTCAACTGAGTAGGCTTCTACTTGTTTCCCTCCACGGCTATATATGTAACATACTCATAACTGGACTAGCGCTTCTTGTTGTTTCTCTTCTTGGCCTTGCCGCTCTGTGCCTGGCTGCCCGTGGCCTTGGGCTTAGGCAGGTCCTCAACGCTCTTCTCGAGAAGCTCGAAATCATCTGCAGAGTCCGTTGAAGGGGTCCTTTGAGCCGCGTCCTCAGAGTCGCCATCCTCATCGACACCATTGTCAACAATCTCAATCTCGGTTTCTTCGGTTGAAGTGGCGGACTGGCCGACGGCTCGGCCGACGGTGAGACCGTAGAACCATCCTGGAAACTTGAAAAGTGCCGTGTCCTTGATAGTAGGCGGGGGAAATTCAGCGGGCTAGTAATTGCTCAGTTAGAGTGTTCTACAAACGAGGTAAAATTCATCTGATGCAGAACTTACGTCAAGCAAGAACTCGTGAACGTTTCCATCGGCATCTTCCTGCTCGAGGTAGACGTCGCCGAGAGAGTCGACGACAAGAATTTTGCCGTTCTCAGCTACGACGCGTTTCTTGGCGCCTGTAGGGCCCGAACCAGAAGGAGCTTGCGGTACGGGTGTGGCGCTACCGCTAGCTTGCTGGCTGCTGCGTCCCTTCGCACGGCTGGGTCGCTTGCCTTCCTTAGCGGACTCCTTACGGGTCTCCTTCTCTTGCCAACGTCTCTGTTTGCGGTTCATGGCGATTGGGGGCTGATTTTCGTCACCCGTCTGCGGCGGCGGAGTTCCAGCATCGGGAGCGTCTACGCCGGGAATGGCGAAGTTATCGCCCCAGGCCGCATTCCGGGCGAACTTGATGTAGCGGTCAACGAATTCGCGTTGACGCCTCCAACTCATGTACAGGGCGAGGTAGTGGAAGCCACCACCACCAACGAGCAGAACGCCAAACAACACCGTGCCAAGACCCGGCCTGTACCGGCTGTAGTAGTATTCGGTGCCCTTCCACGTAGGGAACCCGTTCTTCAGGAAGTGGTCGTATCGGTCGCGGCCGGGGCCACGCAGAACGTTGGTGACGATACCCAGCCGAGCCTGGCGCTCCCCGGCCTTCTTAACGGCAGCCTTGATCTGCGACTGGCTGGGCGCTTTGGTGACCTTCACACCCTTGGCCTTATTCTTCTTGGTACGCTCGGCCATAATCTGCTGCCTTACCTTGTCAGGGTGCAGGGCCCTCGACTTGCGCTTGTAGGCTTTGTTGATGTCGTCCTGGCTCGCGGACGGCGTAATGCCTAGGAAATCGTAGAAGGTCACGTCGGGACCCTCGTGCGTGGCTAGTTCATCGCGGACACGGAAGATTTCACGGTCTGCAGCAATGGCGCAAGCCTGGTTAGAAGGTTTACATCGACGGGAAGAGACGAATGCCATCAGTCATACCTTCTTTGGACCACGCGGCAGTGAGGGGAGTTAATACGGCCACGAGGCCGAGGGCCAACGTGGAAAACTTCATGGTGATGGCTCGCGCGTCGGCTCAGCCGTCGCCACTGAATTACTCGGTCGCCGTAGTGTAGGTTCAAGTAAGATAAAAGAAATGCAGATGAAGAACACTCCTTAGGCCTGCATTATCCGACGCAAGACCCAAAGCTCTGTACTATACTTGGACAATGACTTGGAAGTAGATCCTCGATTCACTGCGACCCATTGGAAACGAAAGTGGTCTTGTTGGCCTCTTACTTTTTTTTTATTATCTTTCTTCTTTCGGCCAAGCCAAGACCCAGGTACCTAGGCAAGGGAGAGGTGTCGAGATCCGCCTTCTGATAAGGCGCTTACCGCGTCTAGATGCCGAACTAGACGAGGAGATACATAAGCAGGTTCGTACCAGGTACCTAATGACACTAAACCATTCGAGAGGTATGGTGGGGATACGACCCTTTCTCAGCATATTCCCTCTAATACAATATATACTCCTTTCTCATCATTCTGTCTCTCTTACAAAAGGCGTTCAACCATTCAAGTCAACCAGTGTTTTGTATTTACAAATATATTCAAAGATGGAAAATGGCACCATAACTGCCCATGAATCTTATGACGCCATCCGAATATATTCTGAAGCTTATGTATCGGTTCCGCACTGGTGTTTTGTTGCTCTCAGTTCGCAAACCCCTATTTCGAGACATCTCTAACAACCTTCTTGAGTCTGCACTATGAAACTGCAATCTCAGTCTCCGCTCACCAACGTACATTGAAGCTGACATCAGTTAGCCGAAGATAAAAGCGCAAAGATTCCATCTCATATTACGCCACGTTTTAGCCGACTGGTGTACATTATTTATTAGAAAAGTAGGCTTTAAGTACGTATGTAGGCGCTTAAGAGCTATATCTTGTACGACTAAAGGACCTGAATTGTAATGTTTCTTCTGGTAGCGATGTAATGCAACATACGGAATACTGCAGGACTAGGAGATTCACTGGTACAGATATAAGGCTATTTTTAAGGATAAAGCGAACGATTACAACGTACCAACAATCAAAGTTCAGCCAATTAAAGCCATTGCAAAAGACATTTTAGAATTTGAAGACTGTATAGCCGTTAAAAACACCAGAAATTAGCTATCGCGAGTGTTCTTGTTGAGAAATTGGGCTTCAATTAAGTGGTGGTGGTGGGTGGCCCGCGACCCCTGCCGTTAGCTTACAGCACTGCTGCGAGCAGCGACAAAGAGCTCCAAAACGCAAAAGATTATCAAAAACTTTTCTGCTGCCTGTTAATCGCATGCAGAGTTCGTGGTAGTTGGCGTAAGCCACATAATACTGAGTAAATAACTTGATATAGGGGCTAATTACTCATAATACTCCACATACCAAGAAAAAGCTGAGATCACTCTAAAAATCAAGTACCGAGATGCGGGGATAGTTCGGATCCAGACACACAGAGAGACCGCAGATGTGACGATCTTCCTATTGGTTCACCAGCATAGCTGAGGCCAGCATCATGCAGAGTGATGGTGATGAAGACTATGACTAATGCAGTGTTATGTGTCCCTGGTTATCACCGACGTTAGGATAAAGACCGCGGTCTTCTTCCCGTTTCTTATGAGGGTAGGACATATACTATTGACATCTTGTGTATGAAAGAAATCTTGTCGCTATGTCGAATTCTCACTTGCCTGAGACTTCCCTATGGGCAAACAGAAAATGTCTGTTCATATGTGCCGTCGTCGCGATTGCAAATGCGCAGTACGGATTGGACTCCGTTGTCGTCGGGTCTCTTCAAGCTACGCCTGGCTTCTTGGAGGTTTTCGGATATCCTGATCCCGATCAACCCGGCGGATACGGAATAGACGTAAGAAGACGCCTCTAAACTTCATCTTCTCTGCTAATATTCATGACAGGGCACATTCCAAAGACTCATAGGATCTCTCCTGACGCTTGGCGCATTCCTCTCCTCTCTTGTAGCTGGTGTTTTTGCCAATTACTTTGGTCGTAAGGTCGCGCTTTGGTCAGCTTGTCTCTTAAACGCGGTAGCTTGTGTTATACAAATTTCGACGACAAGCAAGGTGGCGATCTACATCGGTCGGCTTATTCTGGGTCTGGCGAACGGCTTTCTCGTCACCTTCTCCAACATATACACTGCTGAGGCGTCGCCAGCCCACCTGCGTGCCGTCATGGTAGCTCTGTTCTCGGAATGGGTCAATATCGGGAGTATCATTGGAAGCGCGGTAACTAATAGAACCAAAAGCTTTCTAGATAAGACGTCTTACGAGATTCCACTGGGAACACTCTTCATCGTGCCGACTCTGTTGTCAATTGGCCTTCTGTTTGTCCCGGAGAGCCCTCGATATCTGCTCTACAGAGGCAATAGCGACGCGGCACGGAAATCCCTGGAAACTCTCAGAGGAAATTCAGTATCGTCGGAAGAGTTAGAAATTGAATGGGTAGAAATGGTCAAGGGAATTGAAGAGGAGAAGCGGGCAGCAAAGTTGATAGGGCCGCTAGACATGTTCAAAGGTGCGCTTCCTGGTAGAAACACGAAAATTAGCTGGTAACCCTAACAAAACTGCAGGAACTGATTTACGGCGGACACTTCTCTGCTACGGTGTCATTGGTACACAGACGGGCGCAGGCTCGTGGTTCGTGATTAGCTATGCGACTTACTTTATGATTGTTGCCGGACTCACTGTCGAGGAAGCATTCAAGTATACCATCCTGAACACAGTCTTAGGTTTTGTTGGAGTCAACTTTGGGATGTATCTGATGCGTCATGTTATGGGGCGACGTACTATTCTCATGACTGGTGCTATTGTGCAAGGTGGCACGATGTTGGGCTTAGCTGTTTCCGCGACAGTAGCTCCTGGAACAGTTGCGGCGCGAAATTGCCTAATCGCGTTCTTCGCCATTTATCTCTTCGTGTATAACGCGTTCGTAGGGGATGCGACATATCCAACTGCAACGGAGTTAGTCAGTACACGGCTGCGGTCATGGTCAGTCGGGTCGGCTATTAGTATTGGCTACCTTCTTGCATGGCTGACCTCGTTCTTCTCTCCCTATTTTATCAACCCGGAGAATCTCAACTGGGTAGGTGCTACTTACACGGTTAAAATTTCGTGTACTCCGTTTTGATGTGCTGACGAATTCTATGCAGGGTGCCAAGTATGGTTATATCTGGGCAGGTTCTAACCTGGCATGCTTTCTCTTCTTTTATCTTTTTGTCCCTGAGACAAAAGGGCGTTCATTGGAAGAGATCGATGAGCTGTTCAATAATCGAGTGTCAGTCCGGAGGTTCAAGACATACCAAACCACAATTATAGAAGATGCTGTCAAAGATGTGAAAGACCGGCGTGGAGGGAGCGAGAAAACCATCGGCCCGGCTACGGAACACGTTGATCATGCTAAATGAAAGTTAGAGTTGTTAGCCTTTGGAGATACATCTCCTCCGGGGCCCTAGTGCTAACTTAATGTTTCCCCAGTTCCTACTAACCCCGGTCTGTTAGTTAAACAGTTATGTCTTAGCTATATCCAAATTAAAATCTTAGTCATAAAGTGATTCTATTATGTTTAAACCTTACTTGTACCACTCCTACTTACTTAATTATGTAGATACTGAGCTCACATTGATGAGTTTGGAGTAGATGTCGCCGCTTTGTTGAGACGACCATAAGTTAGTAGTGTATCTCCTCGAGTCATCCTAAGTTTGCTAGTGAACTCCTTGGAAAGAGCCGTTGTTACTCCCATACATCATACATGGAGTATCTACTTACCTAGGTAGCTTCCACAAAACCTTGGGATTGAGCTACTTCAAAGTCTATGTCTACCTACTTAAGTAAGTACTAAGCCCTCGATAAGGTTGACCACGCAACCAACACGCTCTTGCCTTTCCACTTTCCCAAAGTGCGATATCCCAATTAAATCAGAGGACTTTTGTTACAGTCGCCTGATTTCTGACGTTGACTGGCCATTGCCTTTACATCTTTCACTTGCGAGCTTGAATCTTCCATACTACTAGCCATACTCCAAGCCCCTCATTGCCATGATACCATCGCCATTCCCACGCCTTGACAGAACTTTCAACAGTAATCGCCATGTCCGACTTGAAGAAATTTTCGTTATTTATGCATCTTCCCAAATATATTCGAGATAAGATATGGGAGCTTCATCGCGAGAATCAAGGGTTCCGACATTACTTTAGTGATCTGGTGACAAGCGCCAGCGAGTCAAATACTCTCCGGCATTATGCCGCCATTGATACCGAGACAAACACAATGGTGCGAACGCGATTATCCCCAAGAACCGGCGACACGTACTGGGGCAAGAATCGCAGGCCGATAAAGGGAGAATCAGATGACATGGTCGCGCTTAAGGGCCGCACCTGGATCTACACATCGTATGGCGACGACGCGAAGTCTATCATCACCGCGACTAAACCTGGTAAATCCTCACCCTACCACATGACCAAACTCTTCCAGCCAGCTCGATTCCACCTAGTAGCGGGTACAAAGCACATTCGAATGAACTACACGAAAGATGTAATTGTTTTAGAAAGTTTATACTGCTGCCTCCGACGTTTGCTCCCCCCTAGACATAAACACCCGATCCGTTGGCAGGACCTAGAGGGCCACTGGGTCAGCAACGTGCAACACCTTGCGCTAAGCATTGCCGGTTGTAGACACAGCGCCGAGAAGATCATCGCAACACTACCGAAGCTCAAGCACTTGTATCTCATCGTACAACGTGATCAGAAGTGTAGCCATGGCTCGCCACGGGAATGGACGAACTTCGACAAACAGCAGCACATGACAAAACACAATTTCATGCATTTCGACCACTTCAGGGCTCTTCATCCAGACAAGGCCATTAATTCCTGCGAGTGTGAAACCAACCCTACACGAGCCTTTGCCGTCGAGCGTGCCTTCAAAAGAGCATTCCTTGCTGAGTATAAGGCCGATAATGTGGAAATCGTCGTTGTTGCAGATCCGTATTGATTGGCTGGCAAGTGCGACGCGACGGGCTAGGCACGGACCTTCCCGCCGGCAACAGGCGCCCGACCCCGCCTATCCGGTGCCATCGCGGACCGTCACTCTTCGACTTGCAACTACCTATAACCTGGGTACCCTACATCCGTCGCCGTCGCAAGTTGGAAGGGAATTCCGGACAAGCTCAAGTCGCGCATATCATGAAGAGTTGTACCACATACCTGCCATCTGAAACAATGACCTGCTCCATATCATCGCTACTTAGTTCCACTGCCTGAGATACGCTTACTCCCTAGCACTGCGCTAGGTTGCGTTCTCTTTATCCGCATAGTATTGCATAGTATCGTTCGATATCCGTCTGTTATTTCGAGACCACGCTATTTGTACTTAGATACCCAATACTATATCGTTCTGCAACCGAGAAGAATTGACATGCATAACTTCTGTTAATGGAGTTAGACGCAACCGACGATCGCGCAGCCTAGTAACATAGTCGTCAAATGGCCATGTTGGTTGTTATGGAATGGCCCTTTAATCATATTGGAGTTGCAGAGATGATGGTGGGACCTAGTATCCCGGCACTGTAATTACTCTATAGCCTGGGCTTTGGCTGCCGAAGTTGATGCTGCATAGTAAGACCCAGCTCCAGTGAGACCTTTTTTGGGAGACCTTACTCTAGCATCCAGCCATTCGTACTTACTACGCGTACAATACTGATAACTACGTTACTTTAGTGGTTCTTTTTGCGTCGACGATGGAGAGGGCACAATGACTAGCAATGTAGCCTAGACCATGGCCCTGCCAAACTCCCCAAGTCCTACCTACCCCGGAATAATACGCAGAGCCGGAATTAAATTCACATTGGCATGTTAGCTCCGACAAGCTGACAATAGTACATCCGAAAGCAACTGCCAATGCGCTTACCTCAGCTGTACTTGTTGCTAGCTCCAACGGCTAAATCTTTATCAGCCTCGCTTTGCAAAAGAATAGTCTTAGTTATTTTTTTTCCTTGTTACACTGCCTCTCTATCATGAACGCGTCTGGTCTGAATATTTTCGTCTAGCTTACTGCTTTCAATGCCTTAATTAGGTATCTACAATCTTTCTTCCCCGCTCTAAGTCTAGTGTACTATTTATTTTGTTAAGACTAAGCATCATCTAATTATATCTTGAACCGGCAGCTATGCCCCTAGTTAGTCGTGATGGCAAAGGACGGAATTCTAGTAAACATCGAGAGACACGCAGTAATTGACATGGCTCTCTTGCAAGATGCTAATCATAGAATAATTAATCAATCTCGTTTGACAGAACGACTCACGATGGCGCATTCGACTATTTGAAGCCCCGAAACCCCCAAGAGGTTTGGGTAGATGGGAACACACTCCCCAGTCATACATAGGAAAGTCAAACCTAACACGATGTTTCGCATTCAATCTTCCGTCGCTAGCACGCTCTTGCTGGGTAGCTGTGTTGCTACATACGACACTCTATTAGGGTTTAATGGCGCTCCCGAGGTCGAAACCAGGACTATCGACGAGATATACACGGCCGCAGTAGCTGAGGGCGGCATTGTGACTTGCTGGCACGGCGGCGACGAGGCCATGCAACAGGATGCCCTCAAGGCCGCGTTCGAAGCACGCTTCCCCAAGATGACCCTCAACCTCACCGTTGACTTGTCCAAGTACCAAGACAGCGACATAGACCGACAACTTGCCACTGACAGTGTGTACGTCGATAGCATCATCCTGCAGACAGTACAAGACTACCCCCGCTGGGACCAGGAAGGGGCCATTCTGCGCTACATGCCTATGGACTACAAAATTCTATATCCGCAATTCAGAGACATTCACGGCGCCTGGCACGCAACTGGCGTCTACCCGTACACATTTACCTGGCACATGGATCGCATTCCCGACGGCCCGATGGAGTTTGAGGATTTCCTGAAGCCCGAGTTCAAGGGGAAGTTGGTGCTTACTTATCCAACCGACGACGACGTTACTCTCTACGCTATGGACCTGATGTAAGTACGACCTAGCTAGCAGCATGGGTAGCAGAACCTAATCACGCTTTTATCCAGTCTCCAAGAGTTCGGCCTGGAATGGTTCGACGCGCTACTAGCACAGAGACCACATTGGGTTCGCGGCACACAAACCGCTGCAACACTCCTATTCACTCCTAACTGCACGGCTGGCGCAACATTCACTACCGTCGTAGGCCTGAACCCCGGTGCACCCCTCAACGTCTCGATCCCAACAAAAGGCCACTTTGCCACGTGGGCACAGCGAGCCGCCATTCTCAAAGACGCGCCGCATCCCGAGGGCGCCAAGCTGTTGCACAACTTTCTCATCAGCGAGGAGTACCAGCGCAATACGGGGGTCTGGAGCGTGCGCCGCGACGTCCCCGCGCCTTTTGGGTTCCCCGAACTCGTGGATATCCCTGCGACCGACCCTGCGCAGTTCGAGCGCTTTATGGCGGATCGTGAGCGTGTTGAGAGATTGCGCTTTTTCTTTGAGAGTAAGATTGGGACGCCACAGGGTCCGAGTTCTCTGATCGATGGTATTTAGTAGTGGGGGGGGGGGACTCTGGTAATCACTGAGATATGCCTGTGGGAAATCCTGCTTCCCTTTATCATCTCTGTTTCTTTTGTTTCAAAATTTCTGAAGACAATTATGAAGTTTCTGCAGCATATAGAACCGCCAATGGCTTTTCATAAACAATTCCGACTAATTCCTAAATTGGTGTTGAGCTGCAGCCATGCCCACTTCAGCTGGCCGCGGTATCTGCACACTGTATATACCCCAAAACACACTTCAATCGGGGGTCGCAAAGTGGAAAGTTGTCGTAGGTTGCTGGTTAGCCCCCTTTTCAACTATGCTTTCTAAAAGTATAACGTCGATAAAATCGCCAAGTTTCACGTATCCTTAAGTGCGAGAATCTTCATATAGACAACTTTACGTGCGATTTAATTGGTGGGAGTATCGCGATAGTTGATGAATAAGTCCGCGCAGGTAATAAGAGTGATGGAAGTGTTATAAAATCGATGAAATTGATGAATCGTGAGAGTTGTTGAAGGTTAGAAGTTAAGTGGTTTCCTAGCACGCACTGGCCGTATATAGGAATGGAATCCTAAGAAGCAATTTCAGAATTATCAAGAGTGCTTTAAATATGATCAAGTCTGATTCTATTTTATTTTATTATTATAACCGCCATTGCAGATAACTATAAGCTATATAATATAAAAATAAATTATTTAAAAAGTTTAAATAAATAAAAAGTAAAATAAGGCTAAAAATAAATAATAGTTATTATATTATTTTTATATTCCCTTTTTATTAAAATGTTATAATCCTTTAAAATATAATAAATAATTAAGAAATGGATTAAAAGCTTAATACCTTTTAAACTAATAAAAAGCATTAAATTAAATTTACCCCTTTATATAATTTATATATTTAATTTAAAAAAACCCCTTTTATAAATTTATATTAACTTAAATTTTTATATTAAATATAATTATATTAATCTTACTTTTATACTTTATTATAAATTAAAAAAGCTCCTTTTTAAACCCTTTTATTATAATATATTATAAATAGTAGTTTTCCATTATATAAGGCTTATTAAATTATTTATAAATTAATTAACAATTATAATATTATTTATAAGTTTAAATATATATATATAGTTATTAATTATAATTATTGCTTAAAAGGTAATCCTATTTTATTATTTTAAATTACTTTAAAGGATTAAGGAATTATATTAAATTCAAGTATAAATTGCTAATTTTTTAAATTTAAAGCTTATTACTTTAAAATATTTATTCTATATTAATTTATAAAAGCTTATAAAAATAAACTATATTATTAAGCAATTATTTAATTATTAAAATTAATTTAATTAAAAGAATTAAAATTATATACGTTTTATATAAGATTTAATAATATTTTATAGGAGTTTTACAACTTTATTAATTTCTTTAATATAAATAAAGCTAATATATTTTTTCTATTTTAAAAAAGGCAATTTAATTATTAAATTTAAAAAAAATGCTATAGTTTTTTATTATTTTATATATTCTTTAATATAAAATAAATTTAAAAAGCTATAAAAGTAGTTAAATAAAATGCTAAAGATTAAAAAAATTAAAAAATTAATTAATTTAATTAAAATATTTATCCTTTTTATTTTTAAAAAAATAAAGGCTTATATTTATATATAAACTATAGGGAACTTAACTATATTTTATATAAAAATTGCTATACTTTACCCTTTATTTTAAAGCTATTAAATAGAATTTCTTAAATAAAAATATTTATAAAAGTTAATTTAAAGGATACCTATTATTATATTTATATTTAAAAGGGAAATAAATAGAAAATAACCTTTTATATTTATTATAACTATTATAAATTTCTAATTATACTTATAGGTTTATTAAACATTTCTACTACCTTTTAAAATTATATATAAAAGATATTTAATAATATTTTAAATATTTTTTATATTATTTATTTAAATAATATTTTTATATTTTTTATAAATAAAGAATTATATATAAAATATATTTAAACTATTATTAAAAGATTATAAAAAGTAAACCTTTATATTAAACCTTTTAAATGCTAATTCTATTAAAAAAAGATTAAATTTTTAAGCTATATTATCTTTAATTAAAGTATTAAAATAGATCCTTTAAAAATTAATATAATTAATTAATAATTTATTTTAAATTTCTATAAAAAATTATAATAATTTTTAAAGTTTTATAACTTTTATTACTACTTTATAAATAGGTTTTTTTAAATTATATTATTATTAATATATTATTTAAAGAAAGGTATATTTAAAATAAAAAAGGGTTAAATTTTATTAAATATAATTATAATAAAAGTATTTAAAGATTTTTAAGCTATATTTAGGGAAGTTATTTTTTTTATATATTTTAACCCTAAAAAGCAAATATTATTAAAAATTAATTCCTTTAAAGTAGTATTTATAAATAATTTATCCTAATAAAATAATTAAAGTATATTTAAACTAGTTATATTTTATTTCTATAAGTTTTTTAAATAGAAAATATAATATAATACTTTTAATTAAAAAATGCTTATAATAATAAATTACTTTAAATATTAATAGTATTACCTTTAAAAAAGCTACCTATTAATTAAAATATTAATTAATTATAATAATCTTTAAATATTTATAAAAACTTTAAAGTTAAATAAAAGGTAAGCTTATTAATATATATATTTAGCTCCTTTTAACTTTATTATTAAATATAAAGTAGGTAAAAAAAATAAAGTTAATTTACCCTGATATTATTTTAATTTTATAGCTATTTTACTGATTAATATAAATATTTTTCCTATATTAAAAAGGAAAATTATTATAATATAGCAATTTAAAGTCCTTAATTTATACTTTAAAGCAGGGTTAGTAATTAATCAGATTAAAGTAATTAAATGAATAATTAAATTAGTCTTTAATCACTTACAGCTATGACTAAGACTAAATTAGTCATAACTAAATTAATCATAGCTAAGACTAAATTAGTCTTTAGTCAGATTAAAGACTAAAGGTTAAAGTATTTAATTATTTAATATTTAATTTTTCTTTTTATTATTTAATTTAAAATAAAGCTTTAAAGTATAAATATATAAATAAAT